CACGGCGTTCGCAATCGAAACCTTACATGGCAAGCGTTTGAAAGTGATGGCCATTGCTCCGAGGGAATAAATGCCGTCCACTTCCCCGGACGAGACCCTTCACCACCACCCTTGATTTGCCACTGAGTGAGAAGATCAAATGCTCGAGATTCGTTGAAGAGAAATGATCTTTCACCAGGATATGCTGATTCATCCCGAGGAGAAGGTCGGCAAATAAGCCCTCCCACGGACTCCCGCGTGGATGCGTGAAAAATCTCGATATTTCCTGGCGAGGATAAGGATGAATGAGCTATAAGCGAGAATTCTCCATGAAGGCGGCGAGCGCCTGGCAAAAAGCCTTGGGAGAGACCTACCGAGTGGGTGAGAGACAGCACGGAACACCTCAATAGCGAGCACCGGCGTGTGAACGTTCCGCTGGAGCCGTATTCGGTGACTGATTGAGATGAACGAGCCATTTATTGATGCCATTCGGGCAATTACCAGTCATCATTCCGTCGACAGTCTTTTTATTCATCGCGATCGTCATACACTGCTCCTCTTGGTCAGGAGCACATTTTGATAGACGTCGGCCGGCCGGCTGTCGTCGACACGGGCATCCGACACGTCTTATTCCCATTGAAGGGGTGGGAAGAATCAAGCACGCGACGCCGATGCTGGGACCGTCGCGTTCCCCCCACGTAAAACGGGAGCGTCTCCTCTCTCTGGGCACCTATGAAGTCGACTGAGCTTCTCGTGCGATTGTTCGTATACATACTGTAGAGCGGAGAAAAAATAAGATTGGGAGGGGGACACCGTCGGAGAACGACTCATATTTGCGTTAGCCCGCAACTCGAGAAAGTTCAGACAAGAGAGCTCTCTCGATTCCCAGGGAAGGTGGGTACGGATAAAAGCAAAGATTCACAGTTGGCTCCATCGATTGCTTTGTTGGCGTGATCACATGAATACGGGTGACACGCCTCACGCGGTCGATGGGAAGCGCCCGCTCGATCGACGGAGAACGCAAACCGCGAATCCAGGGAGGGAGGAACGAACGATCCACTACCGATAGTCGGATCTCCTCCCGTTTCTCTACGACCGACGATGCTCCTCGACGACGATCGGATCCGAGTGAATATTTCAGCACGCTACGCCTCCATCGCTTCATTGTCGATTGACTCTGATTGCTCAGAGTCAACTCACTGTAGATTCAGCTCAGTCGCTATCCGACGGCCGCCTGTCCTCTCATTCGCTCGAGTTCTGGGTTCCGAGCTGGCGAGTTCACTCGTCAGCTAGCTGCTCAACGTGGATAAGGTGACGGCGCTTAGGGCTATCCCGCAGTTCTGTCGAAACGAAGACGGGGGGCTGAGTGAACGAGAGGCTGAGCGGGAGCGGACGAAGTGGAAAAAAGGGTCGATATGTCAACGTTCATCAATTTTCTCCTGACGTCGCACTGACTCACTCTACTGCGTTACACGCATTAGCGGCTTGCGAGAGAGCTGTTCGTTAGAGCTGGAACTACGTAAAAAACGTGCTGAGCCCGATCAAGCGAACAGCGAGACTAGACTCTATACCGAGCGCCCGAGTATACAGCAGTCTCGGCGGTTTCCACCCGCCGCTCGAAAAGACGGCAGTGCGTTCCTCCAGTATCTTGTTCACGGCAGGCGTCGGATCGTCGGCTGGAGGCAGAACCTGCAGGCAGGCAGGCAAGCAAACAAGCGGAATGGAAGCGAGGCAAGACAGGCGGCAAGCTCTCCGAACGATTAGCGGAGATGGCTGGAAAGCCGCATGTTTGCCATCACTCGTCTCATCTGGACGCTTTCGACTTATCTCAAGCGCGTCCCCCCCAGTACCTGGTGTTCCGCTTCCCCCATCATGGGTTTGGTTCTCGGCTGTCGTCCTCCTCGCGGCGTGCTTTAAACCCTAGGCGCGGGTCTCATTCACTAGATGGGGGAAAGGGTGCCTCCTTAAACTCCAGGTTTTCACTTCCCAGTTCGCTAGCCTGACATCCAAGCCCTGGAGTGGGAAATGCTTAGCTCCGTCGAAAGCTTCCGAGAGCATCTCTTCATGAGTCTTCTTCTGGAGTGGTAGTACTTCATGAGCTCATGACTCGCAGGACTGAGCGGTGTAGAATCTTCCTCCGAAAACAGCTCCTAAACGTGACATCCGAGAGGTGGCTTGAGAGGGAATTCTCGTTGAGAGCCGGGACTTTGCGCGGATTGATGCTGAAGCGTCGGAATTTTCACTGGACATGCTTCTCAGTCGAAACGCATTTGTTCCTTCGCTTAGGCATCCCCGGGCGCCGCGGATAGGTGGCTGAATCTTGCGCGAGTATCGACGTATCACCAGCTCGGTTTGGAGAAAAATACAGAACGAAAACTCGTCGCATTGATACCGGCCGGTTCCCGCCAGGAATTGGGTTTTATTCACTGCAAATTGAGTTTTCATGGCAAAGATGGAGAAAAGCAGAAGATGTTCGAAAAATCTCGATTTCGATAGTTCCGACTCCGACACAGAAACTAAAGCTCCCTAGAAGTTGCCTCGGGAGAGCACCTCGGACTTGAGAAAAATTCACCTTGCCTCATTAGGGAATTACCGCTCAGTTCGGACAGATGATGGATGGAACATGGGAAGCCCCGTTCGAGGCTTTTCGATTTATTCCCCCGTTGTCAGCAATCCACGAAATCCCGCCACATCTGGCGGAGAGATGGCCTGTCGCTCCACAGGCTCAGTCCCTATTCGGTTATTCGGAGGTCTGAGACATTCGGGATAGGCGCTCTCATCCCGAGGACCTCTTTCAGAATTATTATCATGTGCTCGGACGGAAGAAGGCGCATTCAGGTTCATGACGCCAGCTCTATCGTAGACTTCGTCCTAATGGGAACGTTAACGTGTCGGGAAAGGCTCGCAGGGGCAGAGTAGGAACAGCACGGAGCGGCCGCGAACTTTCGATGGCAACGATCTGAGCGTGATCCAAAATGCTCATTCACCTCTAAAATTGCGGTCAGGAACAGAATTCGGATGCCGTGGAATCGGAACGCGAACGAGACCGAGAATCCGAGAGCAAAGGAGCTTGTAGGGCACCCATTGCCGCCGAGCTTGTCATCTGATGAATAGAAAAGAATTGTTCGAGCAGAGAGGATCGTCTTTTGCGAAGTGATGATTTAAACGCGTGACCGGCCTACTAAGTAAGTGGAATCTCGAGCAAACAGCTCAAACTTTCGTCACGTACCTCGACGTCCCTTCGGAGATTCGGACCACATGCCGCCGACGACTACTACTACTCACTTAGTAGCAGCCATCATGCATCGTGTTAATTCTGTGCCTGATGTATGATATATATGTATATGCTTCTTCGGAAACTAAGCTTACTCCGAGCTGTCCGGACTTTTAATTCAACCACGGCTGGTCGGCGCTACATATTCACGCACGCATGCATTAATTCGTGCGCGAGCACGTACTCCTCTGAGAAGTCACCCGCTCGGCCCATTGCCCCCGAGTCATGAAACATCCTCGCTTCTCCCTGGCGGGAACGATCAGCCCTCGCTTGAATCGAAAATGACAGCAGAGAAATGAGGAATGAATGGCTATTCCTCACCGGAGGCTTATAGCCTAACCTTCGGATTTCCGATACGAGATCCAGATGCGATTCGTGATGGTGAGCTCCGGGAATGCCGTGAATTCGATTTCCTCAACGAATCAAACAGTCCCGGGAAAAGTTCACTCAAAATGCTCTCCCCGGACCGTGTGACCCCGTATCGACCACTTCCGAGAAGAGTTGAAGTCGCGTCGGTCGTATGTTTGGAGCGCGGCGGCGACTCCCCGCCACCCGCTCTCTTTCTTCCATTTCTTCCACTCGAGGCCCTCGCTCCTCTTTGCGTCCGTTCTTCCGGTACTGTTCCCCAGCGAGGGGAACTGTGACCTCAAAGAGCACGGAGTGCAGCCCTCCGAGGGGCTGCCGTCGAGGGGCGGTCAGAAAACAGGAGGCCGGGCTCAGATAGGCCTAAGGACAAATCGAGCAAACATCCCCGCGAGACTCGGTATCGGTCGGTCGGCCGGCCGGAGTCTCCCCATGGAAGCGACATCAAACGCAGCGGCATCACCACCGACAGTAACGGCAGTATCAACAGTAGGGAACTGAGCAGATACGCCGCCGGTGCGTCTGCTGCGACGAAGATCCCACACCCGAGAATAGCTGTTACATTTTTCAGTGCAGCTGCATGAGAGGAACGGTGTAGGCCGACCAACGAAAGTCGTAAACACTTCCACATATCATGGTACACGAGTATATCAGCGAGGAAATTTCAGACAAAAGGGAACATTCCCCTACTCGGCATTCCGGTAACGATGCCACGTCGCGCCGACCTCCTCTGCCGACGGCGGAGAGAGCTCGGACCGGCCTGCATGTCAACTGCAAGCGGCAATCACCAAGTGAACCCAGTGAGTCGGGCGAGCGATCTCGGGTCGCGTCGTCTGCTCTGCCTTCGGCACAATTATCCCTCAAGTCTGCAAACGATGGCTGACCAACCGTGGACGTCGTTGAGCGAGCCGCTTGGAGAAAACGAAGCAAGCATACCCGCAAGTCAAACGAGCGGACGTCTAGCCAGCCAGCCGGCCGGCCGGTCGTCCACATTGTAGGCGGCCATCGATGGGCTCGAGATGAACATTGGCCATCGGACGGAAGCCGCGCAGCCAATTACAGCGAACCAATCAGGTCCACGCGGGTTTGCCCACTCGCCGGAAGCTTCGTTCTAGTTCAGAGCGGTCAAGGAGCGAGCGAACGGATGGAGAGGGGGAGAAGAACGACCCGATCGTCAAGCCACGTCAAGTTTGAAGTCGCAAGGACAGCGGCAGCAGCAGCAGCAACGAAACGAGATTAGCTCCACCGAGGCGCCTGACGTCCTTCTTGGCAGAGGCTGGACATTACCTCTACATTCGGAAGGCTTGATTCGAAATAAAAGGAAATAAATGAGGTGTGGTGGGAAATTCAACGACAAATTATCGAGCGTTCCGTGGGAAAATACATGCCCTCATGGAGTCTCGCGGTCTCGAAATGGAGAGATCATGGTCCAGAATGACGGAAATATCCTAATCGATTCGAAATTGAATCACAAAACGATACTTGGCAAAGTCGAGCGGAACATATGACTTAATCTGCTTTATTGTTTTCAGATGCGCTGTCAATCGATATCGACAATGAAAATCCTCTACACGTGGCAAACTGTACTCCGGTAACGTTCGTCTGCCGATTGACAGACAAACAGGGATCAAATAAGACCGAGGTTTATTGGTCGTTTCGAGGAGAGAATGCCTCGAAGCTTCCCGGAGTGAACACCTCTTTCGACGGGGACATCGCTCAACTCCACATTCCTTGTCCCGAACGTAATTATACGGGAGTGTACCAGTGTCTCGCCGAAGAGAAGAACACTTCGATTATCTACAAGAAAGAGCTCAGTTTCAACGTTTATGGTGAGTAACAATAATAATAATAATAATAATAAAATCAATAGTACCAATTATTATAGCCCGTGGTGGCATTCATAATTTTCTCATTACCTAATTATTAATCATTGATTAATATCTCAATTTTTTTTTTTCAAATTCTCCTTCTCGTTGGAAACGAACGGGGAAAATTGTAACAAAAAAATTAATATAAAATTTTGTTCAATAATTAATAATCAATGAAAAATGATAAATGCTCAAAAACAGGGGTCCTAATAATCATAGTAGTACCTCTTGGCTGCTCCCGAAGCAGAGGAGACCTCATACGGGAATGCGCTGTACTCAGGAGGTCGTTCGCAGCCAACTAAGCCTGTCTCCTTGAATATTCCCGACTACCGCGCATTTAGGGCAAGAGGGAGAACCGTTCCAGGAGCTTTTACGCTTTTCACAGTTCGGGAAGCAGAACGAGAAACCGTGTGAGCGACGCGCTTTTGCCGGGAGATGTCGGAGAAGTCTCGGCACGCAGGCCCGAACATCGCATTCTACATCTTGTGGAAGAAAACCCGAAATAGAGATTGTCGAGTCTTCGAGAGAATGAACATTCAAACACCGTCGTAGTGAATCTGTATTCAAGCCCCGGATCCTCGGGGGAACTTGACATTCCGTGCTCAATAGAGCCGTAGCGCGAAGAACGTCATCGGGGTGAGCACAAAGCGTTCGAGCAAAAGAATGCGCGGCCGTCCCTCCTCCCACCCTCGGGCCAGCAGTAATGAGACGATGACTTTTTCAATGCGAAAAATTCAATCATCTCGATCATTTGCGGACGATTTGAGCTCAAATCGAGCTTGAAGGTAGAGCGATCGGTCGGTTCGTTGTACCAACCTACGTACGATCGGCCGAGCAAGCAAGCCAGCCAGCAACCGACGGAACGACCGAGCGCCCAGCCAAGCAAATACTCTCACCGCCAGCAAGCCATCTCCTCAGAGCGAATCAAGGAACGAACGAACATTGACACCCCTCGACCGGTTCCTCTAACCTCTCCCGGAGATACTCACAAAGACACACCGCAGCTTACTTAGTAGAGTGTGAACGAAGGTGTCGTGCACGGCACAACTTCCACGGTCTCCGTCCTCCAGCAGCGTCGGTCGTCGGGACCGCCTGCCCGCCGTTCCTCGGCAAGAAGTGAAATCTGAGCCATTGTTGCGGCTCAACTTTAAACGAATGAACAGCGGACTCGAGCCGGGCAAACGTGGCGAGAGAAAGCAAGACGGAGCTTTCTTTGCTGTGGGCGCCGCGTTCCGCTGATGATCTCTCGATGGGTAATTGTGCTACAAAAGCCGCCCCAGTCGATTAATCTTCTTCACTCAATCAGTAGCACCTCCCTCCGCCAGTGTCAAATACACCTCCGATTTTCTATCATAGAGTTGACGTTCAGAGCAGGAGAGCGAGACGGCTTTTGTCTTTTCTTCGCACGAACTCACTGTTATTCAAATCATTCCATCATTGTTCCAGCGGGCGCACTCCGCTCCCTCCCCCTCTTTGTCGACAAGGCGACTAGTGCGTTTCCATATTTTTCTTGAGTGGGGCACGCGGGGGCGAGCCAAATTAGCGATGGGGAGAGGGGGTCAAAATGAAGACGCGCCTCCTCGAGCTCTTTCTTCACCTTTCCCCCGATGTGGTGCCCTCTGTCTTCAAGCGCTACTCCCGGCGTAGGGATTTGGTTTTACATACGGCTTCTGCTACGATCGGAGACTCCTATCATTGTTTACCATCTGTCCTTGATGAATTCACAAGGAGGACGAATTCGCCCCCGTTTGGTTGAAGAACGAAGACCTCCTCGCGACACCGTTATTCGATCCGCAAATCTGTTTTGACTGCGCGGACTTCGTCTATCAGCGGATGCTTTCCATTAAGAACCCTCTGAATAAAAAAATTAGTAAAATGATTGGAAACTTCTCGATCATTGCACTGAACAATCGGAATCTGGCGTTGTCCTCCTCCTCCCCCAATTCTCATGCACAAGGTCGATGCGAATACATACCGGAAGGCTCTTTCTCAGAGGGCCATGAACTGCGCTGACGCAAGGAGCATCGTTCGTAGGCTCGCGCTCTTCACACTCGATCCACGGCGGAAAAGACGGAAAGAGACAGCGCAAGCGGCAGTTGTCGCCGTCATGGCTCTCGTTGCCGCTATCGTCGACATGCTCGTCTTCCTAGGAGATGCGCTGAGGAAGCACAATCCGAAAGAATGAGCCGAGCCAAGAGATGAGTTGATGTCTCACACTTAAATTATACCCCTCGTACACGTTCTCGTCGTTCTTCATCTCACTCCGGCCCATCCGCCTTCTCTCTCAGCGGAAATATGACCAGGATATTCGTTCCTCGTTCACTATGAAGATGTTGAGCGGTACGCGCTTAAGCGATCCGCCGGATCTTGAGGACGTCGAGCTCTTTCCTGGAAGTGTATATTCATATTTCTTAATCGAATTCATTCCTTCCTCCATGGTCCCCCTTTCGCATTCCTGAATTCTTTTCCATCGCTCTGTTTTGCACCGGAGACCTAGACTTGATTGTCTTTGCATCCACTGCCGCCTCCCTTGTGATCCTTTCTTTTCGAATTAGATGTCGGGATTCCTCGAGGAAACATCCGACGATGAGAGCCGCGTATCCTCAGTCAGGTTTTTCACAGAGCACGCAATTTCGAGCCGAGAAAAATTTCGAAACACGCATTCCACGACGACACGAGGAGCAAGCAGCTGTCGCGGGGAGCGAAACGACAAAAAAGAAACGAGTGAACTTTTCCGAGCGGGGAGCACGAGGGCGAAAATGAGAGCCTTACTCGGTCTCGGCCCGGGTGCAGGCGTCGCGTGGTCTCTCGCCCAGCTCTGCTCTTTCGAACTACTGGTCCACCTGTATCCTTGATGATGGATAATCCCCGAATCACGAGCTCGGGAAGATACTCGCACGACGATAGACGAACGTCGCGTTGGGGATTCGCGGATTCGTCGGCGACAAGAGCAGAATCCACGCTGCCTCCTGCGCGAGCACCGCGCAGTCGACTCCACGAGGAGAAATGCACCTCTTGCACAAAATGCGAGAGCCCCCAATGTGCGGGCACTCTTCGACAGACGGCAGCTCGAAGTACGCAGGCATTCCATAAACGTCGGGCGCCTCCTTGTATATTTTTTTTTGACAAATAATATTTAATGATACTTTAGAATAAAGCTCAAACACAAGGAGCCATGTTCGTGTCGCCAGAACTCGCAGCTTATCCCCAGTGAAACGTCCGGCAACAAGGGTCCCTCGGCCTCAATCGAAAATATTATTCATCGAAGGGAATTGAAAGTGTACCCTTAGTTTAAGAGTCAAGCCCTTCGACTGTTCTGTTCCCACTCTTCTCATCAGGTCATTCATCCGTGTTGACATCAGGCAGAGCGTCTTCGCATATTCATGCGTGTGCGCCGTCCATGGCTAGACGTTTGCCAAGATGTCGAGATGACGTTTGCCTGTTTTTCTGCCGCTAGGCTCGGCAGTCGGGTGATCGGTCGGTCGGTTGCTCGATCGCTCGCTTGCCTGCCATCCCTACCCCATGCGCGCTCTGACTGGTGGTTTGCCCGGCTACATATGTACATAATATGTACGACGCCGTCACCGCGGCAGCTGCTGCCGCATCTCGAGCCCGAAGAAGGTAGTTTCTCCCTCCGGGAAGATGCAACGTGCGGAGGAACAAGCGAGTGTGCCTTATGCTCGTTCCAGCTCACTTTGTCTGGCAGCTTTGATTTGGCCGCGGCTCAGTGACCAGCGTCCAGGCCACATTGTCCGCTCACTTTCGTTCCGGTTCGAGCAACGCAGAGGTGAAGTTTTTGCGGGCGGGGAAAGAGACGCCAGCTCAATATCCTACACGAAGTCACTTTTCTACCCTGCTGGGTCCGGATCAAGACGGTGCGGCGATAGCAGCGACGGCAAAACGGTCGAGCAAAAGAGCTTGCTAGCCATGTCTATCCCCGACTATCTAGCGGGCAAAAAAGAGGGAGCCTGGCTGCGTGGGCATCTCGGACGAAGATCGGCGTCTTGCGCCACGCGGAGCCGTCCGCTCACCGCAGCCAAGTGCTCGGGAGCTCCTCGATGCTCCACCGCGACCGAAACCACAACACTTCGGAGATTTCCTTCTGCACCGAAGGAGGGAGAATGAGGAGGACCAGTCCAAGGAAAGACGAGCGGAAGAAAACCTAAGGGAGGGCCATGGAACGAAAGCGCTCGCCGGGGAAAACAAAGCGGCTCATTGCCCAGAAAAGGCTGGACAAGGTATCACATTTATGAGAACGGAACAAAAAGTAGCGCAGCAAGCGTCCGCGAGGGACCGGCGCATAAGAATCACAACGACATTCGGAGCACATATTTTCCGCCCGCCGCTGCGTTGGCTTCAGTGTCCTTTTGGTAACTTGCCCCATGTCGGCTTGTGTTATGAGTATGTTTTCGTGTCCCTCTCACAGCCCGTGCTTCGTTCGTGTTAGTCAGTTCTTCAATTGATCGCGTCGATGTCGGCGGCTTACCATCCTCCGGGTATCGTAACGGCCGTTGGAGAGCGTCGATCCGCAGCTGCGGTGCCGGCCGGCTGGAAAGACGCACGGAAGTTGCCGTCGCCGCAACGCTCTGCCTTTTTTCCGTCAGCTCACTCTCACACTGGTGCTCTCGTTCGTCCCCTCGTCGGCAGGCCGAGCGGCCGGCCCGCTCGTTTGTTCGTTTCCTCCGTTGGGGGCGGGTTTCACATCCTGCAGCCGCCGCGGCAGCTCACCAGCCAGTCAGTCTGCAAGAGCCATCCTCGCATTCCAAACCATTACCCATTCTGAGTTTCTCGGCCCAGCGAGTGAGCGAGCGGACGGACGGACGTACGTACAGACGGATGTACAGGCCGAGCGACCGATGGACAGACATGAGGACGGACGGACGGACGGACGGTCGGTGCTTCCCTCGTTCTACGCAACTGTCGTTTTCTCCTTCGCTCCGCCGCCGGTTGGTTGGCTGCTCCTGCGACTTCTTGCAAACGGTGAAGTTTCGGAGAAATTTCCTCCTTCCCTTCCCAAAATCCGTCCGATTCTGACGCTTTCTCCCGTTTGCTGATGGAAGACAAGAGCCGGAAGCGCGACCTCATCTTGTTTTTCTTTCATGACCCACCTATACGATGTCCTTGGGTCAATCTCATCGAAAACTTTACAGTTCATAACTGCAGTGGGTGACTCCGTCAGATCTGCTTCCGATTGAGTGATGAATTCCCTACTCGATCGACCCCCCTAAGACTATCCAGAGAGATCCGTCTCAGCCGAGGAGAAACGTTTCGGATATTCGGTGAAACGTGGAGCGCAGTCGTGCGGTTCTCGGCCGAGGTTCCCCACAAACTATTTCATATGCAATCGTTCACCGAGACCGCCAAGAAGATCGGATACGGGAGACGGTGCGTGTATCGGTGGGGAAGCAATAAGCAAAGAAAGTATCTGCAAACATCTTGGAGAGGCATCTTCTGGCTGTGGCGCTATCTGCCGAAGCAAACGCTATGTGCAAACGAGCGATCTTTTATATTGGAGGAGACCTTTCCGTCGACCTCTTGCTTCATCGGTTGCTGACTGACTCGTCCCGGCGTCGCTCGACCGATACAGCGGCTGACGCCTCGCGAGCTATCCAGCTGTTGATTAGTCGGCGGGGATCTGCCTAATCATCGAGCTAGAGATGCGAAATTCTCGCCGAAGCCTAATCAGGCCTTTCTCCGATCGGTGGCTCGGTCGACGGATTCGCGACTGAACCAGGAGCCGAGCAAGCCTAAACATGTAGCTGTGTCACTCTTGCTAACAAGCAATTGTCTTCTTATTAGACGGACGACCCTTGCGACTGTCTGGGGGTTCTGTCCGACGGAGAGCACGCATCGAATGAGTGCAGTGAGGATTCGCTGTGAAGCAACGTCTCTCTCCAACCGATCGCCGCAATCGAATTCGAGTCATCATCCTTCAGCCTCTAGTGCGCTGATTTGCGGGAACGAATACGCGAGACACATACTGCCTATCCGTTCGACGAGAGTACAGTTTCAAGTCTCTGCTCGACCCTAAACTCGATCGATTCGACAAATCAATGAACGTTCCGTCACAAACATACAACCGCGAGGGGGGCCCGCCGAGGCAAGGAGGTACATTCATGAAAGCAGCCGGTAGAGGAATCACCAAGTCAGCGCAAGAGACGGAGGAACGAGGAGAATCGCTCAGTGTAGCAGACGGAAAGCTTTCCGCTCGTCTTATTGAAGAATGCCTCCCCATTGATTTCGAGATGTTCGCGGCGGAGGGGAAACGACGACAACGGATGCCACGATCCCCCGTGATGATGCTTCCGCTACTCGGATGCTTGCAAAGCTTCCTGAGCGATTGACGTTCCATGCTCCAGGAAAATATGATTGCTGACGAACGACACACAAGGTAGAGACAACTCAGACGACGGCAACAATCTAGGTACAAGTCTGTGATGTATCCTCGCATTCGATCCGTGGGGACTCGAACGGGGATCGTTTGCTTTTTACCGCTCAGCCGTTCGATTCTCCGTTCGTTATTTCGGAGCACTCGGGCTCCGACCCGGACCGCATGGGGACGCTCCTGAAACTTCGGGTTGCGCTACCCGTTTTTCCGGATTGTCTGTCCATGCCTTGCACTGGAACGCAGCTCGTGACGAAAAAACACTGGATGATATTTAGGAATGAGGCGACTCGGAATAAAGTTAGAATCTGGAATCGTCTTTCATGAAACTCTGAGGCAAAAAACGCGGGAACTGTGAACGCACGTCTCCGTAGGCATCGGATCGTCGAAGCACGACCGCTCGAGCGAGAGCGAAAAACTGCTGCAAGAGGCGAGGGGTTTAAATCTCTGTCATATCAGACGAGCTCAGGAAGTAGAGCTTGTCATTACAACATGCGGCGAGAGCTGTAGAGCACTCAGCGGTCTGGAGCTGGCTCTCAGCAGGAGCACTTGCTCTATTCTTCTCCTCCAAGCCGTTCCATCCAGGCTGCATCTCTTCTTGACATTTTGCATGGAATAATAGCATACGTAGTGCGCTGGGCATAGCCTCAAAGAAGAAGCGCTGAAACTGCAGCTGCGAGAGCTCCCCTGTTTCGCACGCTTTGAAGACACGCTGCGGGATCTTGCCGGATTCTTGATCACTTGCCCGACACACATGCACAAAAGTAAAACCTCTCTACGTGTCTCTTCTTTCGCTTGTGCTCCCGCAGCAGTAGCGGCGCAGACGGGAGCTCGAATAAAGAAATCAGTCACTCCATTGTGTATGAAGACACAACGCTCAAACAGAAGAGGTGGTCGAGTAGGCGGGCCGGGAAAGAAGAGAGGACGAGGACGGAGGGAAGTAAGACGACCCCGCGGCCCACTTAACGAGGCCGTATTTAGTTGGGGACAATCAAATTAGCGCGCATCCTGGAAATTCCATTGGTCGCGATGCGAAGTTTTTGCAAGTGCCTCGGGATGGACCCGTAAGAGCGCCGATTCGTCGGATTAGAATAGCCCCGTGAGGACTCGACTCTGGGACGGAAATTTCGTAGACGATCCTGTCCTGATGGGCAGGACCTCTTGATTTGAAATCCAGGAGATTCATGAATAACTCATTTCGGGGAACTCGAGCGACCGAGGAATCTTCCGTGAGCCTCGAGAGAATTTCCGGGAATTTCGACGGATCGTCTTCGAAATCAAAGCGAGAACAAAGGTTGAATCACGATATTCCAATGCATAATTCATCGAGCGACAGAGAACGTGTTGATGCGTCGGGGGAACTCCGCGTTCAGCCAGTTTCAGATACATGCCAACAAGGACGTCTTTTGATCTCCATAGCAACAAATGGATTTTCTTTCCCCGAGAACGAGAGCGAGACGCCTCGAAGTCTATTCAGAATATTTCTGTATGGTCCAAGGAACCCCGCGAGTGATCTACTTCCGCGAAAGTTCTTATCTCTGAAAAAGTTCCCCCTCGCCCTGTCTGACGCTTCTCTCAACGGTCGCCATCTGAAATACATACACAGGTACCATCGCCGCTCATCGAGCTAATTCTTCGACATTTTCTGAGATTTTCCGAGCCGCCGAGTGTGCACGACTGTCCGATCTCCGTCGGCGGGACGGGACAAAAGGCGACGGGAGGGACTCGAGAAGAAAGCAGCCGCGAGGCGCTCCAATGTGATCTCCAGACACCTCGACCTCCCCCCTGGACCGGGAGTTGGCCGACACGTGCTAACAATTAGGTCGGAGCGCCGTGCTTTCGACGATTCAGAGGGCGTCCATGGAAGACTCTTCCTTCCTTTGAGGGGTCTGATTGACTTCTTGATCGGCACTTTTTTCTGGTCTGGACCGACCGGGACGCGTTTCTTCTGACTTCTGACCAAGTCCGAAGGAGCGATTCCCAGTAGGGAAAGGTTCGGAGAGCTCGGAATCTTCGGGCCATCTATTCGGCTTCCGAGAGGTCTCGCTCAGCTATCGACAGAGGAATGAACACGCTGTGCTCTCGGAGGACCAGCCACATCGGAGGGCTGTAAATTCAATAAATGATGTAGGATCAATGAGGAGATGACGCTCCCGCCAAACGCAAAACTCCGTTTCATCTATGAATGAATTGTCGTCAAAACCTTTTTTCTGGACGCGCAGGATGCCCTCTTCCACTGCCAGAGGCGTATATAGCACGTTTTTGGGGAAGGGGGAGGGGGAAGCAATGACTCTTCGGGGGGAGGCAGAATGATGATCCCCATAGAGTTGCATGTACGAGGCGATGTTCCGGGGGATGGGGGGCACGGTCCCCTCGGCCCCGCCCTAATGTACGATGCTGCCCACTGCATCGAAGAGTCCTTCCTCCGTGACACAGAAAAGCAATATGAGACGTTATGGAAAAAAATCAAAAGCACGTTCCCATCTCACATTCTTCAATTTTTTCCAGTTCCCGTGAGCGTGGATGTTTCGTCTGATTTCGACGAGCCTCCCCTACACGGAAATGTCACGTTGACGTGCCGAGTGACCGCATGGCCCCACAGTATCTACCTTGCGTGGTCTCGAGGTCCCTTGCCATCGAATTCGAGTAATTCATGGTGGTCGACACAGGGACGCAATGAGACTGATACATCCGCCAACAACATCTGGAACCTCACCAATGACACTCACGCACAGAGTGTGAGCAACGCGACTCAAGTAGACGAGGTGACAAGTGTCAGCACTCTCGTCCTAGAGGACCTTTCTCGCTTTCAAAATGCCACGTACTTCTGCTATGCGTACAACTCGCAGAACAATATGACCGCCATGTCGTCACATCATGTGCAAGTGATTGGTGAGCGATCGATTCGAGCGAACATAAAACACAGATGTCATATATCATGTGTATGATTGTCCATAACCTCGTACGCCCTCGGCCATAAGCGAGGCAGAATCTCATCAAGCTCTACATTTCCAGAGCCCCCCGAACTCGGTTTCGGCAAGGTGACAGCAGAGGACTCGCGTACTGTCAAGCTGAAATGGCAAGTGAAATTCCCCAACAATCAGCCTGTGGCCCGCTATCACCTGCAAGTGAAAAACTACAGTGCGGAGGTCGATTGGCTGGACGTTCACAACGCCATTCCCGCTAACACGACTACGTACACCGTCGGATACCTCGCTCCTGGAGTCACCTACGGCTTCAGAGTGGCCGGGGTTAACAACGTCGGTGTAGGAGAATGGATCGCACGAAACATCACCATGCCTCCCGATGGTAAGGAAATCCAGAGAAATCCCTTTCTCCTGCCAGCCGCCTCCAGTGAATCCATTAGTTAGCCGGTCCATAGGCACAAGATTCGCCGCCGACGTCGTCGTTGTGACCGTCCGTATCGCTCTTACTTCCAATCGCGAATGCCATTCGGAATACAGTGCGCGGATAGAACCCTTATCTAATACGGAGCTTTGGTCTTAATTGTTCGATTTCCCATGAGCTCTCCCACAATGAAATGCATAGCTATGCCACCGCTAAGAGGAATTGAATTCCTGATCTACGACACGGCTCCGTCGGACTGGCGTTCCTCCCCCAATCTTGCAATCTCGTCTCTTTCATTCGCCCACCGAGGTATTGAGCGCAAGCCCACCGGCTCGCTCGCTCGTTCGTTCGTTCATTCATTCATACATTGAGCGTTCTCCGTGTCCGCCGGATTGACCGGTCGGCCGCCCGATCGGCTCGCCATACACTGAGGAGGGCAAAATACACTTCTGTGATTCAGGAGGCCAAGCGATCCTCTCGAAGCCATCGTGTGAGAACCATAGATTTATCGCTTCCGAAGTGACATGTCCTCCGGCATTAGCTGGAATAATTACATAGGCGAGGGTCCCTGATTTTGTGAACTAGAGTTTGTGACTTGCCTTTCGGCGGACCCCTTCCATCACGGGAATCGTCCAGAATATCCCCGGTCACGATGGAAATCCGCTTTTCGACTCCGTTGCGATACGGGGAAACCGAGAGAGGATCAGCTGCCCCGCCGAATCCGGTTCGATCTTCTCCAATCCCGCTGAGGGAAGTCTGAGCTCCCGAACACTTCGGTCGTCGATTCGATGACCGAGGTTTCGCGCATTGCAGTGGATTTCGGTTATTTGTCCGCGAGCCCGAATCCCCACCAGAGGCTTCGGGGACATACTAGGCCGAACACCATCGCCCATAGCCGGACTGGAACTAGCTTTCTTTCGTCTAGGGTTGACGTTTGGCTAATGAAGGTTTAGCATCTGAGAAGCTCGACGCGCTTACCAGCCGACCAACACGCCACTTCGGGTGAAAGTCGAGTAAAGGACAATATATGCGAGCTCACTCCGCGGCGATAGCCCGCGGGCCTTGTTTGCGGAGCGGAGAGCGAGCTACCGAAAACGCCCGTGCTGTCGATGAAGTTTCTCGTCGGTGCATGGATTTGTGTCCGGAGGGCGTATCTTGCCGCAAGCGGAGGCGTCGAAATTAGTCGTGCAATCGACGAGCGTTAGCCACCTGTGACGGACTGACGGACTGACGGACTGACGGACTGACGGACTGACGGACTGACGGACTGACGGACTGACGGACTGACGGACTGACGGACTGACGGACTGACGGACTGACGGACTGACGGACTGACGGACTGACGGACTGACGGACTGACGGACTGACGGACTGACGGACTGACGGACTGACGGACTGACGGACTCACTGTACAAACGCACTCCAGTCTCCCGTCTTTTATTGACCAATAAGGCACTGGCGGCGGGCACGTACGTCCGGAGGTGTAAAGAAGTACGATGCCAAGAATAGGAGAACAGAACAGCGGCGCCGGCGCGGCGGTTGCAGAGAAATCACTTGTAATCGGATACGAACGTCTGAATTGCTCGAGGAACGAAGTTCATTCCGCACGCTCCAATCTGGCCGGGGATAATGAGGAACGTGCACCGAGCCGCTGTTCTGCTCCCGCGTGGACGTTCATACCTTCTCTCCCGGTCATATTACCTCATTATATGGCGTGTAGAGCTTGGCCGCTGTTTCTGCCACGGTCGGCGTCGCCAAGTCGCCTTCGCGGACCAAAGGAGATTCGCTCGTCGCCATGAGCAATCCACTGCTAACTACGCGATGCGTGTCAAAAGACTGACCCGGGCTCGTTCGCTCGTTTGACCAATCAACTGATTGCCTTAGCGACTGCTTTAACGAGTACCCACTCGAGTGAGTGAATAAGAGAGAGGCTTGTCATCGCTCGCGTGGTGGCCAATTACATCACGTCATCAGGAACAGAGACAGGAATGTCAGTGTCTTCTGACATGATGATATCTGCCGAGAGTTCTTCGAGCTGAATAGCTCGAGGGGTCGAACTCCCCCGCCGGCTCTCGAGGCAAAACCATGTGATGATCATAGCGGGATCGAGCGATCCTTGCGGACTCCGAATGAAGTTGGACGGGAATCCACCGCTCTATGTAGATGCCTCAAAGGGGCGGTCGGCCTTTGAGGGTAGATCGAGAGATCGCTCCCGGAAAATAACTAAACTTGGGTGTGTCGTTCCTTTGCAGTTCCTCCAAAGATCAATCAAGTACACCTGCTGGCCACGACAAACAATACCCTCGTATTTGCGTGGCAGAGACCGCCCCATAATAACGGGGCAAATATTTCGCAATACAACTTTGAGCTACTCCACGACTCACAACTGCACGAAAACCGAACGATGCCAGCGAACGAGAACAGCACGAGATCCAACTACATGTTCGTCTACGTGGGACTGACGCCCGGCGACTCATATTCGTTTCAGGTTGGTTGTCACTAAATTCTTCTCAGCCGAGGCGTCAATATTCTTATCTCTCCGATAGCACGGGAGCGTGGGGAATGCTCGGAGTAAGGTCGCCTTATCTGCTTTCTAGGTCAGAGCTTGCAACGCGATCGGATGCGGAAACTGGTCGGACCAGCTAGAAGCCAATACTTCAGACGGAAGTGAGTATAGTGCGCGCCGCCATTGATTTCCTCGGAGCTTGTTCCAGAATATATTGCTCCAATATCGACTCTCGAAGCCTGGAAAATTCATTTTGTCCAAGCATCATATACATCTCCGAATTCACAGCCGCCGGAGCTCCCGAGGATGTTCAGATGCTGTGCTTCTCTAACGATGATCGTACGATCACATATACCTTGGTGACATGGAAAGCACCGAAAGAAGCTCGTGGTACCATCCAAGGATACAACGTGAGTACCGGCCCCGGTCCTCGTATGTAGCTTGAGAGGATCCGACGGAATGATGATCGGGAGGCCAACTTACTTAGCGACGATAATACGGTGTTGAGTATCATCTTGTGGGAAATCGATAACCCCCTCGAGAATTCGAATGTCCGGCCCTCCTTGACGGGGATGGATACAGGATACTGGGAGCCTTGAGCGACAACAGTTTGGGAAAGTCGGGTGCGGTGGGAGCATCGATGCTGCTTAAAAGTTGCCCACCCCGAGCATTTGTTAGTGTCGGAGGCAATTACCATGAGAGATTGCGTGGCTCAACTATTCGCGTAAAACATTCACTGGCGCAACCAGGTGGCTTTCGCGGATCTTATCGCTTCATGCACCTGAAGACGTACGGCAGATCGAACATTCGCGCCCGATTGATAGCTCGGGTTTTCGGCCTAGTCACAGTGAGACCTGCCTACCACTATCTTTTTTTCACCCCCGATGATTCCAGAAACTGAACTTTCCCGAATTAGCGAGCGCAACCTGCCGACTCTGCATTCCCGTCTGCCGACGAACTGTTTCCTTTCGATGAGCACGATACGAGCGAAGGGTTGCTGATTCTCTCACCGAGTTGCAGGATCAGGAACCTTGCCAAGAAGATTCTCATGACTCATGAGACCTTTTCTGTTCTCGAAAATGTTCGAATCCACAAGTACAGACGAAGGATCGAAGCGAAGTTTTCGGTAAAATGTACACAAGTTTTTTCTTATTCAGTACGAAAGGAATCGACTGACCCATCGATCTGACTCCGGAATTAGATAAGAGGTTCTTCTACAGAAATTGTACAGGGGCTGAACAGAGACAGGTGTCCGAATGGGTAGGGGGAGCAATGAGTCATTGCGGGAATATTTGGTGATTGAGCAGATTTCCAGGAAGCTTTCGGGGGGAGTACGTCTAGTAGTGTCCGTAGCCGTATCCATAACCGTTTCCGTGTCCGTAGCCATGGCCGTAAGCGACCGGAGCGGCGTAGCTGGCGTGGGCAACAACGGGAGCGGCGGCGATGGTCTTCACAACAGGGGCGAGGCCGGGGGTCACGATGGAGGTGGCGGCAGCGGCGGCCGGAGCGGTTCCAGGCTCGTTGGTCTTGATGGCAGCGCGGAAACCAAGTCCATCAGCCACATACTCGACGTGTCGCTGTCTTCCATCGATGTCGTTCAGACCGTAGGCACCGACAACAACTCCCTTAGTTCCAGCTTCCGAACGGAAAGATCCTCCGGTGGTGTGCTGCTCCTTGTAGCTGAACTTGTAGTTTCCAAGTCCCTGTCGTAGGAAAAATGGTGCTCTAACGTCACTGTTTAAAGGGAATCCGGTCGGGACCACGAAAATGCGTTCTCCCCTTGAGATCGGTCGGGCAGGATCCGGGAAGTCCGATGGCGAAGCGCCGATCGTGCCCCAAGCGGTATCGGACGGTGAATATCAAGACAGCGGACAGCACTTTGACTTACGTCTTCGGAGCGGGAGGAGACGGAGGATCCGGCCTCGTGGCCTCCGAGGAGACCAGCCTGCGCGGTGGCAGCTGCGATAGCAAGAACGATGAAGGCCTTCATGATTCTTTGTCTCTGAGTTCGCTTGAATGGTTCTCTGATACGCGCACGTCTCTTTATAGTTAGGACGACGTCTCGATTTTGTGCCCCCTCTCTCGTTTTTCGCCCACCCAGAAATGAATAGCCAGCGAACACTGACTCTCTTTCTATCGGCCTGGCAACATTCCACATGCTCGATAAAGCCGTTAAGTGACCAGTATGATTCTGGCGTGCCTTCTCTCGAGAAGTCAAACCAGCCTGAGAATCAGCTTCCGTCGATTCGGAAAATTAGTCATTCCAACATCGGTCGGATTCCACTCCTTCCAATATCTTAACATATTTGAATCGGAGACAGTTCGGTTCCGATAACGGAGCTCGGTCCCATCCGGAAATCGACTCACAAAAGAATCGGGGGAGCCGGGCGGAATCAGCTGGTTTTTTTTTTCGATATCGAACCGCACTATGAATTCATGATCGTCCAGAATTTCCGATCAGAGAACGCCACGCACAGTAAAATTCCCCCGGTTGGGGTCCGAAGAAAACCGAGCTTTCGATCTCCGGAGCTGTGGAGAGATCTTCCACCGTAAGTTTCGCTCCGCTCATCAGTGTGACGAAACCAGAATTCGAAATCAAGACGAGCACCGGTTGCGATCTTATTGTCCTGGCCGGGAGATGCCAAATCTAATTGCTAGAAGTTTCATTCTGCGTGAGGAACGCTGAGGGCGTCGGCAACCTTGGACTGGTTAAAGCGCTTCTATTACCCAACGAACGTTCTTTTTCTGGACGACATGTATTTTTCTGTCGGTCTTCACTGATAACTTGGCTACACCTCTTCGTGCTTCTCATTCTGATGGTCAACTGCTCTGGCCGACATGTTAGTAAAATCCGCGAGTGTCCTTTTAACGACTTTCGTTCTTTTCTCACGAGGAAGCACGAGGCCTTATTGTTGTCAACAGTGATCGAATCCCGCGGGGAAGAGTCATGAACTTTTCTAGCGTAATGATAGTGATTCGAGCGTCGGTCATCGCCTCCGATGATGATCATATATGAGGGATTGGTGGGTGGTCCGGAAGTTCTCGAGGCATCAATTATTATGAGCACGTGTTCCAGCCCCTTCGGCGGAGCAACTCAAAAAACAAACAATGAAAGTGGTTCGAGTTCACCACCAGGGAAGACTCGGCGAAGAACTTCGCTTTCGCATGCCGATAGGAAGACGTAGCCCAAGAGGAACAAAGTTTCTGATCTCCGGATTCCATAATCGAGATGATACCTCATTGCATTAAAGTACCAACATACTTACATATGTATATGTTTTTGCCGGGCCGACTGCGTGTCTTCAGTGTAAACGTTCGAATCTCGTGGTGGCCAAGGGATGTGGGAAGCTTTGTGTAACTGAGCATCTGCCGGAAGCCACTGCGAGCCACTCGCACATCTATTGTTCAAATAGGTCTCTTCCATGAACGTATTGGCTCATAGACTGACCTAAAAATTCGGATCTGGCTCCGGACGGCCGATTATTGCTTAATCATTATTTCCAGCAGGGCCTGCTGGTAATTCCGCTGAAGCCAGGTGCACGAGTATGTTCCGCTGCTCGAATAGGGGCAAAAATTGTTTTCGTTCCGCATACATGCCTCTAACTCGGTGGTAGTGCCAGATATAGGGGTGACCAGAGCGTTGAGTACGGAATGAATGGATCTTTCATCCTACGCGACCTTGACTTTTGGAGATCGGAAGTTGCACAGAATGGGAAATCAGAATACTCTAGTCGGAAAGTTCCTCTGGTGATTCAAGGGAAAATATTGTCCCACTGAAAACGAGTTTCCCCTCTTTACAGATAACATTTGAGGGCAACGCGGTGTTCCGCCGCGAAACGGGAGCGTACGAAACGGAAAAAGTTATCGAATCCCATGAAGTGAACGCAACGACCGTCCAATTTCGGGTATTTTCTCCATTCATCACGATAAAATACATATGCTGTCACGCAGGGTCCGAGATCCCAGTCTAAAAATTTTCCACCTCCGGGTCGAACTTCCATTTCGGCGAAGCGTCCGGATAGATGGATTTCCTGGCGAGAGGAATTCATTGATTTCCCTTCGGTCTTCCAGGCTCCTGTCAAACCCCATACTAATTACACAGTGAGGGTTTGCACCGTCAATAGAGCCGGATGTGGAAATCTCAGCGGTGTGAGCGCCAGGAGTGCTTGCGTGTCGCCACCCATCGGTGAGATAATCGAATCAGGAATCTTTCAATCGAGTTCTCCTACAAGTGAATACACGTCCTTCAGATTTTCCAAGTGCACGTGGTTTTTCCCCGACGGGGCTGAATCGTTCGGGCCGAACTCGCAAAAATCTCTGCCTGGACTCCAGAGTGTGAACGGGGCGGGAAACCAGTGGCGTACCAAGGGGGGGGGGGCCAAGGGGGCCAGTCGGCCCCCCGAAAATTCCTTTTGCGTAATGCAGGAGTACAGGGTACCTCATCATTTTGGATCTCTGGCCCCCCGAAAACCTAGTCTGCCCCCCCCCAAAAAAAAATCCTGGGAACGCTCCTGCGGGAAACTAGGATCCAAGGGAAACGTCGAAACTCGACTTGGACGGTCGGGAAAATCATGATTCGACTCGACTTCCGAGACAGAGCTCTCGGTCGAGCTCCGTAGGGCGCACCGGGAGGTTCACGACAACCAACGGGAATCAGTCTCTCTGGGAGGGCAACCGTATGCTGCGGAAGAGGAACTTTGCCCAAGATTCAATATCGCTTCGCCAATTCCGAATTCTTAAGCCACCCGTGGAGAGACTATTTCACAATTGGAATCCGTGAAGCGTGATCCAACTTTATGAATTATCGTGACGGTTGAGCGTCTTCATATTTCAGCGCCTCCATCTCTCCCCCGGTACACCCTGGAACGAACGGACCACGACAAACAACTCAAGCTCCGCATGGTTCGGATATCGGAGCGAGCGGCTGATGTTTTGTGAGTGTACACCGACTCGAGCGATGATTCTCCCGAACGAGCATCTCGATTTGCGAGAAGTCTCCTTCGACTTCCTATCACTCGAGCCTAATAGCGCGGGGTGGAAAAAACTCCAATTCGAGACTCTAGTCCCGTCAAGTTTTCTCGAAGAACTTTCCACGATCATGATCGCTCCCGACACGGAGCGAGAAAATCACGCGCAGAAGGAAGGCAAGCTGAACGAATCATTGTCTTCCAGATGTTATCGGATAATTTTGATAAAACTCCCGACTGGCGACGTCTTCCGGCTGCTACCGAGAGACAAGTCAGAATTGAATATAACTTCTTGGGAAGCCGTTCATCGGACGGGATCAGACATAGGCGCATACGTTGCCGAAGCGATCCCAAGGTATGCTCCGAGCCGGACAGGAACAATCTCAGAGATGGATAAAAGAAACGATATGTATGATCCGGAATCGCTTCAAAATCAAAAGCCCTATACCGCAAAGGAAAGAGAGTACATATGCAGTCTCGGAATCTCAACAAGAGGTCGACCTATTCATAAGCCGATTCCTTTTCCCTTCGCAGCGATGATCTACCGGAAGAAGTTCAACTCGGCGACTTACAAGGTTTTCATTGTGATTCTGCTCTGCTAGCCAAGCAGCCACCCCGCCAGAAAAACATTTCGGTTGAGAAGAATTCTCAAGAGAACAGCGATGAGCAGCAGAAGATTATGATGCAAACGATCGACGATATTAGTAATCGGCGCCGGAAGAGGACATTGCTTAGATTAAGTCGGGAGTCTTCGGGAGACCAGAGAGCTACAAATTTTTATCAGGTACCTGCGTACATGGATCCTTTGCCGCGAAGCTCATCGAAACAGCTTTGATGCGTCTTGATCTCGGAGAAACTAATAATTTTCCCATGGCCATTCTCAGGGCAGGGAGATCTACGATGGAGCACTCTCTTCGAAAACAAATTATTCGGGATTTGTAGAAGTCCACGTCAGAGGCGAGAACGGAACTGTCCTGTCACAACAGAGTCCATACTTCGATCCTGTTGAAACGGGCGCAGATCGAACTGCCATCGTCTCCGAAGGCCCCGCAGCTCTCGTTGCTACTTTATTCTCTGGCGTTTTACTCGTCGTGCTCATGATCCTTGTGTTCGTCTGCCTGATCAGGTCAGCGGAGATGACAAATATGTTCCGTGAGCTGATTTCCGACTCTATTCTAGTCGGGCATTCAGATAGAGCTAATTCGATCCTTCATTCCACAGGAAGAAGAGTCTCAAATTTTACACAGACCCAGGTGAGGAACTGCTGGACAACGACAGGCACTTTTACGCCGAATTGAGACTCTCCACTCTTCTGCGTCATGTGTTCCTCAAACCGATGCCGCTGAACATTATCAGTAGTAAGAGCCATCCACGGAAGTCTCTGTCCTTTCCTCTCTCTATCCTCGGTGATGGCTGCCCCTCTCTGAAGTCCAATCACGATCTCCCGAGGCTTCGAGACTTCGATCGATACCAGTTACTAGAAGAAGTCTCTACCTAACGACTCCGACTCAAACTAACAACGTCGATGATCGCGCTGAAATTCGTGTCGAAACAGCTGATTCGAATGTCTCGAACAGAGGCTGACGGATTTCAATGTCATCTGCGTAATTGTACATCTTGGCTCACGATAACGAGAGAACTTTTCGTTCCAGCGAGTGTCAAAGAAAGTCTACCGAGTGTGATGCCGATAAAAGCCCACAACCTCCCCGAAGCTGTATTAAAGAGGCAGGCACAAGGAGATTTCTTGTTCAATGCTGAATTCGAGGTGAGATCGGGGGCACGAGACATCGATTCCGAATTGGCAACATGCTCGTTCCGCTCGTCCAGTAAGACGCTCTTTCGGTTTACAGTTGATTCCCGATAAGTTCAAAGATAGGACAACGTTCACGGCAGATGCGCCGGAGAACGCCTTCAAGAATCAATATCCTGATCACGTAGCATGTAAGTTCCGAGACCACGAAATTACGAATTTCTTCCTGATGTTCTTGACGGTATCTTGACTGTTGTTGAAGTCTGGATTTCATTGCTCACGATGTTCTCTTTTCCCCTGCGTGTGTTCCACAGACGACCAGACCCGAGTCAAACTGACTCCGATCGACGGGGTGGTCGGATCCGACTACATCAATGCGAGCATCGTGGAAGGCTACCGAAATAAGAAAAGCTATATTTGCGCCCAAGGACCTATAGACAAGACAGTATACGATTTTTGGAAAATGGTCTGGGAGCAAAGTGTTACTGTGATTGTTATGCTAAGCGGCGTCGAGGAATACGGCAAACAAAGATGCTCGTCGTACTGGGCCGATCTGGGCGCCAAAGAAATCGAGAAGGAGTTCATCGTCGGTGTGCTCGCAGTCAGGCACTACGCCGACTTCAAAGTTCGGAAATTTATTGTAAATCGTATTTCCGGGGGAGTCACGGAAGAACGGGAGATACTCCACTTCCAATACATGACGTGGGGAGACTTTTTGGTGCCCGAGCGGCCCACCTGGGTGATGCGTTTTGTCAAACGAGTCAATGAGCACTTCGTTCCGGACCGGGGGCCTTTGCTCGTGCACTGCTCCACCGGGTCGGGTAGAACGGGTACTTTCGTCGCAATCGATATGCTACTCGACGATCTTGATGGTAGCGACCAGGTTGACATCTTCAGTTGTGTGTCCTATCTACGTCATCACAGAATGCGTGTCGTGCAGACCTCGGTGAGCTCATTCTCTTACTGGTCGTTCGCCCTTGCGTGTTGAATCAATAACGCCCCATCGTAGCGATGATTGCATCCCAATCATTCCGACGATTCTTGCAGAAACAATACAAATTCATATATCGAGCGCTGATGGAACACGCTCAGTTCGGTGACACCGAGATAGAAATCGGCCACCTCCGCGACCACTACCTTCAGCTGAAAGAGAAGACAAATCTCGAGGGAAAGGACGGACTAGCGATGGAATTCGAGAAACTTCAGGAGGTCATCGAGGAGCCTCAGCCCTGTAAAGCGGGGCAGTCCGAAGTACACGCATCCAAAAACAGATATAATTTCATATTGCCCTGTAAGTCTGACCCACTTTCGATGCTCCGATGTAGGAATTGAAGAGATTAGGAACCCATGATTTCATCTGATGCGTACGGCCACCATTTTATCGTGAGATAATGATTTTCAGACGATCATAATCGGCTCGTCCTGCCGGAATCGCCGTCGAGGAAAAATTCCTCCTACATAAATGCGTCTTTCATACAGGTTTGTGCGGCGGCGCATGAAGAATACTCAGAGCCCATTCCGTGGTAAAAATAGTCGAATAACAAGGAAGCTCCATCGATTCTAAGTCTGGTGACTGAATTTCAGGGATTCGACAGATCGATGACATTCATAGTCACGCAAGATCCACTGGATACGACGGTCGTAGATTTCTGGAGAATGATCGTGGAACACGGTGTATCCACGATTGTGATGCTCAGTGAGTTGGGTTGTTCACCTACTCAAACCAAATGCCATCCATATTGGCCCGTCAATTCGGAGCTGATATGTGAATACGTGAAGGTCAAATTCATCAAGGAAGAAGCCAATGATTTCTACATCCGGAGAGATTTCGAAATCTTCAACACTAAAGTGAGTTATAGATGTGGAAGGAGTCATGGAGTCTATATCCCTTGCATGATGTTCCCTCGAGTTTTTTTCGTGATCGATCATTATCATCATCAAAAGGGAAAACCCGATCGTTCGAGCCGAATTGAAAGGAATCCGGACAAAAAAACTGCGAGAGGCACCCCAGACTCAGAGTCTCCGTTTCTTACAGACCCAAGAAGGTCATCAAGTCACGCAATTCCAACACAAGGGCTGGATTGGGCAAATTGATTATGATTCGTGCATCTCGATCCTTGCTGTGATTGACGCGGCCCAGATGAGTAGGGCTACAGCTCTCACTCTCAGGCCAGTCCGGGAAGTCGGTCCCATCGTTATCCATTGCAGCGGCGGCGGCGACCGCTCTTCAGTATTCGTCTCGCTGTTCGAACTTATCCAGCAGCTAAGGGCAGAGGAGCGGGTGGACGTATTCCAGACAACGAGGCATATTCGCTCACAAAGACCTTGTATGCTACAAACAGCGGTAAGTTGCACCATACGATCGTCGCCATACCCTTGCCCCGGATGTCGGAGCTGACGAGATACTACCTTGTCTCCTCTTCCACAGAATCAGTATGAATTCTTGTACAGAGGCCTTTTAACCTACATTGAGACTCATCAACTGTGCGACATGGCGGACACGCAACTCTGAGGGTGGGCTAACCTAGGATGTTCAAATCAAGGCGGACCTCTGCAGACGGAACAAACGTTTGTGCCTACTCTGGCTCTCAGTGAAGCCTATTGTACCCTGGAGGTGACAGATCAATTGAGCTCGACGATATACAATCAGTGCCCTCCTGTTATCCGGCCTTCACCCCTCCCGTCGTATTTGGTTCAAGAGATGAGGGATTCTCCTTCGCCTTCTTCTCTTTCGACTTTCTCAACGACGATCTCCCCGTCGTCATCAAGTGCTACCTGAGAGCTCGATGCAAGAAATACGGAATTTCCTCTTACTACTTACTGCGCTTGTACGAAGTCTTCTGTTTCCGGAGGTTTGACGTCACCTAAGGCTTATGTATCGTAGCTCATCCGATCCGTACTTTGAGTATTACATTTTTTCATTTCGAATATGGATCTGTCAAATGGGCAGCATTAAGGCATCTGTTGAATATTTACGCGATTTCTGCAGCCTCCGAATTCTGTTGTTACGTGGAGGCTGATCTCATGAGTGAATAATTCATCCATCTGCTATAAGAGGGGAATGATGGAGATATCGCAAAACAGATCGAGGGAAGACGAGTCGGATCGTCCGTGTTTCACCAACCAGGGGAATGACTTCCACAGAACTCAAGCTCAAATTTTCTACACACATAAGTAGCGTAGTGTTACAAAGACCGTCTCGAATGACAGGAAAGGGACACAACAGGAGCTCATTTCCGATTCATCATAGAATAATTGCTGATGTTGTTAAAATGTATTCTGTTTGCAATAACAACCGATTTTAAAACAACTGTCCGTTCGTTGGAGCCGGTCGCATTTGTATCGATGGGTATTCCAAACAGTGGGTTTTGTCACGCAAGAGAAGACATACGCGGATGTCCTGTAAATTGGAAAGATGGAATTTCCCTTCTGCGGTCTTTTGTTGACGTCAGAATCGGATGGACAACTAGATCACGCAAATTCTGTGTCAGGACGTGAGATGCTCTTCCGACGTGAGGTTTCCTTTCGAAAGCTTCGCTCCCCGATTGGAACTACTTCAAAGAGCGTCGAGGATGGCCAAGTCATGATAATGATGGGACTCTGAGACTAGCCGAGCTTCAGAGTTGTGTACAGTGTAAAATCGAGATACTCGAGAATCGACGAGAATAGCTATTCGACTTCGGAGTGAGCCATGGGAGATTCTGTTGTTCAATCGCCTCGCAGCTCGTCGGCGGCCGATCATCGACTGAGGATTCGAGCACGTCCGGAATGAGCAAAAAACGAATAAAGTGTCTTACGTGATCCTGTTCTGAACTCGTTGATGGAGTTTTCATTTCCCTCAAACAACCCGGCGGAATAGAGATGTCCGCGGGGTTCATCTCAGAACTTCCCCATTCAGGACCCTTTCACGCATGGATATCCTCAGAAGACCTCAGCCCAAGAAGACACCAGGACGGATACCTCCCGGCACCCGGCCCGGCTCACACGAACAGAGGAAAACCACCGATCAATCTCTCCCTGTGGAGAACAGAACCCGCACCTAGAGCAACCAACGACACCTACGATTCTCTGCCCTGAAACTTGCTCCTCAAGGAGATCTCAGCACAAAAATTGATCCCTCGAGTTCTGGGCGACGCGACGCCTAGGGAGGGATATCCGAATCGAGATTTTTGATTACCCACTTCCTCGGTCTCCCTCTCTTCCGAATTTTCGAGAGCAGATTTGCCTTCGACTTCCCTCCTCCTCACTATAAGAAGCCTCCTGCACGCGCCACAGTTGTCAAGCTTTCTTCTTCAGATTGAAAAATTTCAGATCAGAATCGAAGTCACCGAGCGGGGTATGGAGCTTTCGTGGTTGTTCCAAAAGTGGTTCGTGAATGAGATGCTGACGTCCGGATGAATGTATCCGACGGAACGTAGCACCATTCTCCTCGAAAAGTGTGGGCGTTCATTGGGAGGAAAGCGTTTAGAAATGAAAATCGAGGGAAGATCGGTAGAAAGACGAGAGACGATGGATGGATGGATGCACGCGCCCAAGTCTTTATTTTCGACTCAAGTATCCATCGTGGCCATTGCCTGGGTTCTAGGCCTTCTGCTTCTTGAAGTAGTCGGTGAGGATATCGTGAGCGTCAGTCTCCTCACCGTAGTCCTTCACAGCAACGCACGAGCAGCCAACAACCTTCCGGGCCTTTCCCTCCTTGTCGAGTTTGCAGAGACCGACCCATTCTCCGAGTTTCTTGTTGGAGTCAACCTGGATCAAGGAAAACTAAGATAAGCGGGACGTCGATTCGATTCCCCCCCTTAGCAGACGGATGACTCCATCGATGGAAACTTCAGGTACCACCGCGATTCGGTTTCGGTCTTCCAGTACTTACACGGAAGAGATTGATTCCCCGCTCAGCACACAGGGCTTCGACGAGTTTCACGTAAGCGGGTTCATCGCAGTTTTGAGCAAGGACGCACAAGTGAGCTCTTCCTCTGTGAATGGACTTTACTGAGAAAAAGAATCTCAACAAGCACGCGACAATAAGCGAGAAGTAAACGGGGTACTCACTCTCCGAGAACCTTAGCAACCTCGTGCAAGCCTTTGGCAAGGCCACGACGGTGACTGGCGATCTTCAGCACTTCTTGAAGTGCCTGGGTGACATCCTTCGGCTCTCCGACCACCGGCTCCCTGCAAATGATTCGAGATGACCGTGTAAACAAGTAAAGCGAAGCCCGGCGCCCATCGGGCATTATGGGCTTCAGACATCTAAGGAAGGTATTAATTAACCATTGTTTTCGGTCTTTCGGAATTGTGGTCATCACTGTGAAACAAACGCCGAGTGCCGTAATAGATGCGGTACCGATACATTAAATGCAATGCCAACGTTTGCAAAGCCGCTCAGAGCATGTGTGTGAACAGATCGTCATCCGAATGCGAGCGAGTCAGAACCTAATTCACGCTCGAAGGCGGCATCGATCGGTACCGCGATCCATCCGGGATATTCTCGATGGACTATACTCACATAGTTCCAAGTTTGGATTCTGTCCTCGCCGGATCTACGTAGATTAGATCAACGTGCGGCTAGCCGCTTCGAAAGTTGAGCACGAAAAGGAACAGCCAGTGGTTTCGGAATCGGGACTTGGCTCAGAGGTGGCGCCACCCGTCGTTTCGAAAATGTCTTTTCTGGAGCTCTCGCTCCTGAGTTCGTTTCCAATGTCGACTTCGAGAATTGCGACCTCGGTTGATGACAACCCTAAGTATGAGCTCGACACTGGGCGCCGTAAACAATATTATCGAGAATAACAGGAGCAGCAGTGGCGCCCTCTATCGAATTCGAACGCTCCTCCACGAACAGCAACATCGGTGAAGTCAAATTTTTGAGCCACGCTCTTCGGATTTTTAGCAAAAAAGAGAGTTTGCTCGACTGAAGACCTCTGTGCGATAGAGTGAAGTATCACGGTGAGTGAATCCATGCGAAGCCCTTGCACTCTCTCGAATGCTTAGGCTCATCCCGGTTTCCTGGATCACCCGGTGACATCGTGTTGCCGGTAGCATATTGTCAGAGACTTCTCTGAGTGCTCCGAGTATCCTTCATTGAGCTCGCCGCGCCGTAAATCAAGCTCCACAACGCCGGCAACGACTCACACCGAGTCGGTCCTGTGTCGCGACGAGAAAGGCTCGTGACGCCCGAATCAGCGTCCGATAGGGCCTAGCTGGCGTGTTCGAACACTCCGAAAGAGTGCATTCTCGGATACTCGGACTCAAACACCGACAAGACGAGGGCATGCGTCCAGCCTGGGTCAGGGATCCGGTTCGCGTCTCATTCTTCCTCGGACGCTGAATACCCATTCGATTTTCATCTTCAGATGGTGCTCACGTGTCGATTCTACGCTTCGAAGTACCCGGAGCCGGACGATGTGGTCATGGTAAATGTTCGACAAATCGCTGACATGGGAGCTTATGTACACTTACTGGAATACGACAACATAGAGGGCATGATATTGCTTTCGGAGTTGTCCCGCAGACGTATCAGATCCATCAACAAACTCATCCGAGTGGGGAGAAATGAGTGTGTCGTTGTCATTCGAGTAGATAAGGACAAAGGTGCGTCCCGAGACTTTTTCGGCGAGACCGGCCCCCAAGAATATTATTGACCGCTTGATTCGCGAAGATACGTCGGAGCTTGAGTCTTGAGCACGGAACTGAATACCGTCAAATTCATCCTCAGGCTATATCGATCTCTCAAAACGAAGAGTTTCAACCGAGGACATCGTCAAGTGTGAAGAGAAATTCGCCAAGGTGAGAACTGAGCTGTGTTGGTTCGTGAGGTCAGGTGAATAATTTATGAGATCTCTGATTGAAGTCGACTCATCAATGATTATATTCATTCAAGGCTCGAGCTGTGAACAGTATTCTCCGACACGTTGCCGACAAGCTCGGTTACAGCAAAGAGCAATTAGATGATTTGTATATGAAGACAGCCTGGCATTTCGACGAGAAGCTCAAGAAAGTCACCGCAGGTCACGATGTCTTCAAGGCCGCCGTCACGTAAGCTACCATAGGTCCCCCACTGGGAAGTCACGAATTCCTTATTGTTTTCTCTGAGTGAGCTCCGTATGAATTCTCTAACCTCATCTCAATCCCTCGTTCCACGACGATTCCGAGTCCTCTATTGGCACCGGCAGGGTCCATTGATCTTATGATGAATGGTATTTTCATAGAGGGTGCGCGGGACATAGAGAGACTTGGGAGCGTTCAGGCACCTCGTATCAGGTTTCTTCTCCCCAGAAGGAGGGCCCTGTCTGATCGAGCTTGAAAATTCCTCTCCCCAGATGCTTTGCATGTGTGTCGAGATTTCTGAGGAGCGTTTCTTCCACAGAGATCCTAAAGTGTTGGATGAGTGCCAACTCGAGAAAGATGTTCTAGATCTACTCCTACAAACAATCAACCATCGCTTGGCTCCGCAGGCCCTGAAATGCCGTGCAGATATTGAGGTACACCGAGGACTTTTTTCCCCTCCAAAAGAATTCTAGTGCTAGAGAGACATGGATTCACTTCGTTTTGCATTGAAAAGTCAAGACCTAGTCATTAATGTGACGGCCTTCGAATGCAGGTGTCTTGCTACGAATACGAGGGTATCGATGCGGTCAAACACGCACTCCGTGAGGGCATGGCTCTGTCGACCGAAGAGATGCAGATAAAGGTGGGTGCTTCCCTCCTGTGTTCTTCTCTTTTCTCGAGCTTCGACCGCCCCGACACGAAAGAAAGACGGCTCGTTTGCTCGAACCCGCCCATTTAATTTAGAAGTGATTATTGTTGCAGATAAACCTGATCGCGCCTCCACTCTACGTCATGACAACGACGACCATGGATCGGAACGATGGTCTCGACCTGCTCAACTTGGCGATCGCAAAAGTCCAGGAAACGATCAAAAAAGCCGGTGGAATGTTCAAAGTAAGCGCCCAAGAGCGACTCACGATCATCACTGAATGAGACACTCCGATTGGATGGATTGAGAATTCATCGACATTCGAGGCCTATGGCTCCAAACTGGACCGGTGGTTCGGGAGGTCTGAGCACTCGAGCGTCAAAAGTATCTGTCATGGAGCTGAACTGATTCGGTACGATTCGATCTTCCAGGTCCAAAACATGCCGAAAGTCGTCACCGATATCGACGAGGTTGAGCTGGCGAAGCAGCTCGAATCTTTGGAAGAGGCCAACAGAGAGGTTGACGGAGACGATGACAACGACGATGACGCACCCCCGAAGGTGAATAGATCTATCACTACCCGTCGGTGTTTGCCGTACGTCTAGAGCTCCTCGCTGTTGTTCCGAGGTGTTCGGTGAAAGCGTTTTCTGAGCGAAGCATTTCTGAACATTCCAGGCGACGTCGAGTGGCGAAGAGGGGAGCGGTGACGAAGTGGCGGCGGAAGACTAAGATGGGATAGATTTCACAATTACGCTGGCAACAATAAATTTTGGAATTATTCGCTAGTCCGCGCTGCAAAATGTGTGTCATTCAATCATAACCCAAACGATGCGAGCCGAGCTGATCCTAAAGGAGGAATCGACTGAACGTCATTTTACTGCATGCATACCGCGCTCCGAGAAGGTTACGGGGAGCTAAATCCTCTTGTTGAAGTCCTTGGTTCCTGGAACTTCTCCTTGAGATCTCTGGTCGGTCGACTCGTCAGTCTTCCTACTGCTCGGATCGAGGGAGCTCGACTGCGGAAGATGCCCGTCCTGGTAATTATCCACCATGAGCTCTCGTCCAAAGATTTCCGGACTCGATCAGATTTCCTGAGAAAGTACCGAGAGCCGCGCTCCTGCGCCGGTTCTCCCGCCACGATGATACTGGATTCGGGAGCTAACAGGTCCATATTTATATTCGACTCGATCAGGATTTCCATGCAAGATGCCATCCAACCTGATACGGAACTCTTGGCTGCGAGCATAAGATCCGGATGGAGGTATCTTCGAACTCGAAAAGCAGGGTAAATAATCTGAGAATTTCCGAGCCTAGAGAATAGGCAGACGAGGATCTTCTCGGAGGAATCGGTTCTTCTCGATTTCAAGCCGGTTCTCAATATTCCGGAGAGTACCTTCCTCGGCTTTTGATCTCAAATCAAAAAGTGCCCACCGGTCAGCGCAACCAATCATAATTAGGACTGGGAATCCATCACGGAATTCACAGTCGCGCCGGAAGCCGTTAATTTTCCTTCTTCCTGAGATGCCGTGATTTTTTTTTCACTCTTCTTTGAGATGGTTCCAGACTTCTAAGAGCGGTTTCGACGTGGAGATAAGGATTCCACTATCGGAAGAAGAACCTGGCGGTCGAGAGATGCTGAAAAAGTGATCATCAAAAAAATTCACGGCACCGTGAATTTTCGGGAAAGGTGCCGTGATGAACTCCCAGCCCAAATCATAATTAATGATCGGTCACGACGATCTGGTAGATGCATGGCTCCGACTCCGGATGCTGACACTCATGAAAGGAATATCATTGCACATGTGCGAGGGGAACCCATGTGGAGCCCATGTAAGCTCCGCCCATTTCGAAACAAGCCTCAATCCTCATCCTCGAGGACGGCAACTCTGAGCTTCGGCATCGTTCGGTTCGGTAAGGAGTCGCAACCGCTGGCATCAGACGATCGCTTGGAGCTCTTCTCGGGTAGAGAGTGATTTTCCGCATTAGATGAGGACGCGTCTGCGAGGCCGGCAGAGGGGCATGTGACTGAAGGGACATGTTCCGGACTACCTATATCGGGTCAGCTCGACGCTCACGGTCGCTGCGATCAACCATCGGCTCGCCGCTGATACGGCTCGTCCGGTTTTCGGCAAGTCTGCGCGAGTTTCGACCGGAAGCTAAACGATAATCAAGAATCCGCCAGCAGTCACTGAACAGCGCCACCTGGCCGAGGAGTGCTCTCGCAGATCTCATCCGCCGGTGACTACGAATATTCCGAGCGACCCCGAGAGCGCCACTTGATGAGTGTCTTATCAGAACCTCATGCAATGTGTTCTCGCGTGAAAAATTCGCGATCAGCTCGGGAGGCCCCTCTCACATGCGTTATCAGTGCGTGTATGTGCAGTGGTGGGCGAATACTCGCACTCCTTCTGCCAAGTTGATGGTGGAGCCCGAAACAATTATTCCTCCTCGGCGGAACGACTCAAGGAGAAACACTGACGAAGAGTCTGCGAATTTAAGTCTCGCGAATTCGGTCGGATTCCGTGAGCGGTTACGTTCCGAGGCCTTCTGAAAAACTCCGGGCCTCCCGCGGGTTTTGAAATGTTCGCGCCATTACGTCATTTGTATCGGTGTCCTTCCACCGGCTGTTAGACCACGGAGAATATTTTTGTTGATCGCTCAAGTTCGAGATTTTCGCTCAGACTGTAATCTGCCAATGGATTGTACGCTTTGAGCGTGTATTCCACCGGTTTTCGGCGGCTCGTCTCACGTGGGTGAAAGATCGTCGTTGTCCCGATGCTCACCTAGAGCGATGAGCAACTATGCTAGAGACGAGAGCGGGGCCCGGGCTTCCGAGGGCCCGAGAGTGTTTCACGCCAATTATGTTACGGAGGGAGCCGAAAGTCCCTTGGCCCGACTCGACGGCCGTGAGTTCCAATACTTTATGTTCAAGAAACGGATCACCATCGGCCGAAACTCCGCCAACGGTGACGTCGATGTTTCCATGGGGAATTCGTCGTTCATCTCGCGCAAACACCTTGAACTCTTCAATGAGGGACGATACATCCACATGTTGTGCAATGGGAAGAACGGCGTCTTCGTCGACGGTGCCTTCTGTAGGAAAGGAACTCCCCCCGTGAAATTAGCGCCTACGTGCACTCTGCGGTTCCCATCGACAAATATCAAAATCATGTTTACGTCATGCCTGGAGCCGGCAACCTACTCCCGCGAGCGGTGTGTACTTCAGACTAAGGACGCGTTGGACTTTGAACTACCGCCGCGATCGATACCATCACCAAAGCAAGTGCCATCGGCAGCTTCCGAAGAGCTCTGCCCGTCAGCTGCACCTCTTCAGCTGACGACACCGAAAGCTCAGACAACTCAGCCGAATCACTTCAATAATCTTAATCCGAACCTAGTGCGATTCCAGCCGCTGAAAATCAATATCCCAACCCATGAGGACCTCATCATGCCGAGTCCGTGCCCTTCGCCGACCGGTACCATATCAGCTGCCAACTCTTGTCCAACGTCACCGCGCTCAGGCGTTTCAATGTCGTCGTTTCATACTCTCCAGCATCGTAATATTGTTACAAACGTCACGAACGCGGCAGCTCATCAACACATGGTCAACTTGCTGCAACCTCAAAAAAGCAACATAAAGCACGAAATTGGCGCTTCGAGTGGCGGCGTTGGTGGTGGTGGCGGCGGCGGCGGCACGTCTCTCGCTTCCGATGAACAGAAGCCACCATTCAGTTACGCGCAATTGATTGTGCAGGCGATCTCGTCGACTCCAGACAAACAGCTCACGCTGAGCGGTATTTATTCATACATCACCAAAAACTATCCCTACTATAGGAATGCCGAGAAAGGCTGGCAGAATTCTATACGACATAACTTATCATTGAATCGCTATTTCATGAAAGTAGCTAGATCACAGGAAGAGCCCGGGAAAGGCTCGTTCTGGAGAATCGATCCGTCTTCCGAAGATAAACTCGTTGAACAAGCGTTCCGTCGTCGGAGACAGAGAGGTCTTCCGTGCTTCAGAGCTCCCTACGGTGGAGGCTCGACGAGGTCGGCTCCAGCGTCCCCCGTTCACGTTAACGCTAGTCTAGGTTTGAGCCTCGGCATGGCCACCCCCGACTCGCTGAGCCGGGAGCCGTCGCCGATTCCCCCTCAACACCTGCTCATCGATCAGAACCCTCTACCGGTCCATTCGGAAATCGTCGTCGAAGAGGAACAGGCTTCGTTGCAGGAAGCCGTCGCTTCGATTATGCCCGATGAGGAGTATCAACAACAGCAGCAGCAGCAACAAATCCACGTTTTTCCCGGGGAAAACGCGAACATGTTCGTTACAAAACCCCTGTCGTCAGCTACTTTCACAAGCTCCGATTCAGCCCCGGTCAGAGAACATCTGGTTGTTTATCAACCGGTCATTGTGCAAGCACCGCAATCCGCAGCTGCTGCGGCCGCCGCGGCAGCGACGGCACCTGCGTCTGTCGTTGTGGAACAGACTATCGATGAAGAGCTGGAAGAAGCTCAATCCTTGCAAGATGAGAAAGCTGAATGTCCCAAATCGTCCTCGACGCCTCCACCGCCGGCACCATCGAGTGAAGATGTTTCCGGTGAACGTGCGACGCCTTGAGAGGATGAAACTAATATAGAATAGACCCAATTCGTTTTGAGATGGTTTTTTCACACTGACTCTACCAAAAATTGTTAGCGAAGTCGTCGGACTCGAGCCAGAGCCCGAGTACGTGGAAATCAGTCATCTATCAATTCTCAAAAATGAATATATATACATAAAATATATATATACATTAAACACTTACTTATACAGAGGAAAAATATTCGACAACGGAATCGTCGATCTCGCTCGACGCTCGGTGGCCGTTGTCGGGAGCGATGGTTGAAAGCATTTCTGTTGCTTTTGAGAAACGGATTCGATTGTTAATACATTGATTTGAACCGCTGATACATGCTCGCTGCACCGGTCCGGTGCGGAGTGGCATGCGATACACTAGGCACATTGAATAAATTTGTTCTTGTCCACTTCCCCGAAAGCATCGACTTCCGTCATGATTGTCACGCTCATACAATCCCCACAAACCCAGGAGTTCTGAGACGTTTCCACCCTGCTCGGGAGCTCACCAATGAGTTGTATCCCAGTCACGTAACCCCCACGTTCTTATAGCGTATTCGTGTCGTTCGGGGGGCCTAATGCCCTAAGAATATGGTTAGCTAGGGGAGGAAACAAGTGAGAGAGAGCTGAAGTTCCGTAGGACTTCGAGAAAAGCTCCGCTCTGAGACTGAGACTATGTCGCAGAAAGAGAGAGAGAGACAAAGGGGGATCTAGTGCGTGTGTCGGAACTACGCTCGGATTCCGCCCCTAGCAAAAGGTTAGCATCTGAGCCTAAGAAGTGCCCGAAACCGATCTCAAACAGATCGAGGCTCCGACGATCCAAACATCGAAAAATCCTACCAGATTCAGATGATGTCCTACATCATGTCTGCAGAAACATGTGGTTTCCATTTTTCGTGACAGATTAGTTTTCATAGCTAATGAATGGAAATGTTCGGTGGCAGTTTGGGGAAAACGTCGAGGTACAAGCAGTACTTCAACAGTGATGAACGGACTGACGATGGAGGGACGGTCATGAACTCTCTTAGTTTGGTAGAAAAACGCCTGAAGCTCGTCAACAAGCGGCGAGCGTATTCAACTCTAGAAGAAGACTGTGAAGAAACGACGTTCCATGAGAACAATAATTCTCTACCAATACCCGGGCCCGGGCTGCCGGCGCCCGAGGGATCGCCCGGAGTCTGTCAGACAAGTAGGTTGATGAATTATTGTTAGTGAAGCCTTCCCGTGCTCCGAGAACAAGTCTCCCATCTCAAGAAGATAACGGGAGATCCACGACCCTAATCGAATTCTGTTCGGCAGACGCGAAGACGAAGAGGAGATCTAGGAATATTATCTGTGCCCTTGCAATCGCGAGTTTAGTGCTGTTGGTGTGCAGATTTGCTGTTCTGTTCCACAGAGCCAAGAAGAGTTCCCAAATGCCTTATTACTTCTACTTCGTTCACGAAGTGGTGAGCAGCACATATTGATGGATCCTATTCGGATTCGAGCAGCCTATATCTCGCGGATTCGGGAGATTTCCAGCAGAACTGAGGAATCATTTATTCAGGTGTTACATAATTTGACGATCGATTCAAATATGGCCACCTTGTCGATGCCCAACGGCACACGGGCGATTTACTGCTGCGCGAAAAACACCGTAGTTTGTTCCAAGACCGAGGAGAGCAGTCTCATCTGGAAACGGGCGCTGATACACAAGGTTCGAATCGTCCTGCCGGATCGTTGAATGGGGGAAGGTCTCCGCTTATCAGTTGCTGAATATATCTCAATCTGAGTTTCGTGCGAATTCAAGACCCAAGGGTAGTCTACTGACGATGAAAAATTTGAAAGAATTTTTTGGAAACAGATCGAAAACATTCAATGCAACGACGCGGCATGTATCGTCTACGGTAACAACACGGTGACAGCGCTTGAACCTACTCAAGGAGGATTCATGTGGACGCTTAGGATCAAAGCGCAGCCTTATCTGATGTCGACATCGTGGGGCAGCCGCATTGTGGTCTTCCACAACGAATACATAATCATCTATCGACAGGTAGATCAACCACAGAGTTTCGATATATCGAGTTGAATAATTTGCACGATCGAGATGCGTTATGATCCACCTTCCAAATATGTCCACTCGATGCTTATTCAGGACACAGGGAGGGCGACAACTCATATTCGCATCAAGAATTGCACAAGGATAAGTCGAATTCAACCAGTAGGAGCTCGATTGGCTGTTCTGTGTCAGCAGGGACTGAACACTACAAGTTCGTATTCAAGAAATCTACTTTCGTCGATCTGTCATTTCCCAAACTGTCGCAGCACGAATCCCGGTCACGAGAGTTATCGATTCAGCTAACTTTTCAGGTGCGTCGCTGTACATCATCCCGAAATCCGTGCTCCTGCACTCCACGTCGCTCAATCAAGATAAACCGATACCGGCAGATTTTGCCGGATTTTTCAAGGTAGCATGTCGCCTTTCTTTGATTGAAGAGTCTTGGGATGCCGCTCTTATCAGGTTCCTTTCGTCGTTAGGCTCGTTGCTCTGAGCGGCTGAATACGATTCCCGTTGCAGTTACCCGTCCGTCTCCATACTTACAACGACACGGTCTTGTACATACTTCACGACAAGGGCGTCGTGTCGACGTTGAGCATCACGGAAAGGAAAATCGAGGACATTTTGAGCGCGGCTAGTGAGACGGTCATGTGAGTTTGTTGCACGATCCGAAGTTCTATGTCTTTCGCATGGATCACTCGGTCGAGGATCGAGACTCGATCTCTCGATTTGACAGAAATGCTTACTCCCCACAGAGACCTGCTTCCAGTGAACTCTACGCATACTCTGATACAGACTCTCCACGAATTTAGAATCTACACGAGTCGGGGTATCGTATGGCGGAAAAATATTCAGATGGAGGACTTCAGCTACATTCGGAGGTAGGATATTCAGTCTCTGCTAATTGCGTACTCAAACACCGTATCTGGCAAATCGGCTAACTGACAGTCGTTTCCAGGCTTAGCCAGAATTTGATTATGCTCAAAAACACCGACGGACGTCTTTCTATCCTAGACATTCTGAGTAAGAACGAAGTCTGTATTTCACCCGAGAGCGCTCAAGGTTTGTTTATTTCGTTCGGATATCGTGTGTGTATATAGATTGTCGAGGAGAATCATTTGAAGCTTTGCCCCGATCTACGCCTCATGACTTCGTTGCGGTGTTTCAGACACTCGTGAACTTTACCCATTCATTTCCAGAATTGCTCCTGATCAATGGAACCGACAGGATGATATTTACGGCGAGCCACCAGGAACCCAACGACACAACTATTAAAACACTGTATTATCGCTGACGGGCTCCCCGAGCGGTATGAATAAAAAAGCTCGATCCTGACACAAAAAAAATACGCTGAACTCATGAGGCGGCTCTGAGATGGCTCTGGGATTCTTGCCTCGTAGTACCGGAACTCACTCTGAGGATTCCGCGACTCAAGGTCGATCCCGACATTCGTTACCCTACCCTAGTGAATAGGAGCGAATAGCCAATCGGAAGTTCATCCTGGGCCACCCGGGATTATCTCAAATGAAATTCAATCCACGATCCACGAGCCCTCGGCTGGATTCGTCGCGAACCAACCGCTTGAAAAGCCCGCGCAGCTACGGAGCTCAATGCGTTCATTCAGATCGGGCTTCTCTCACTGAGCGCAGCTCCATATTTACTTGTGAATAGCCCAGCAGAGCTTATGATGGTTTTTCATCTCGCTTCTTTGAGGGGGCTCATGTGAGTTTCGTGTGAGCCCCGCTGGTTTACATAGTGGTGATCTCGTCATGTGGGCGATGGCGCGGAGTCCGGCCTTTTCGGCCATCTAGAAGCGGCCGGCCCCGTTGGATCGCCGAAGCACAGCCCTTGCTTTCTTCTCTGTCCGTCCGTCTGCCTGTCACTCAATCAGTCAGACGGACCGCCAGTCAATCAGCCATCCGGTTGGTCGGTACACCGGTCGAAGACTCGTTCTCTCCGTAAATCGATCGAGGACCGAAAGTGGGGAGATCTCGATTAAATTCTAGCGTCAAACGAATAATCCGCGTTCATCATGTGGAACATGATCTGTGACGTGATGCCCACGATCGTCGAGGACCGGAGCAGCGGCCCGGCTGCAGGTGCTGTGGGCGGAGAAGCTCAGAATGAGAGCAACTTCGAGCAGTTGATGGTGAACATGTTGGACGAGCGAGATAAACTCATGGAAACACTCAGAGAGACCCAGGTAAGCTTGGGGGGGCGCGAGCGTGGCGCACACCGTGTTCCTCCTTCACACGGTGACGACGGATTGAGACGGCGCGGTCGAATCGCGCGGTAGTGTCGTTTCAGTGTCAAGCCGCCAATTAATCTTGACGCCGGCCCGCTCAGGATGGCTCTTTACTGTCGTTGTAATGTAGAGATGCGGCGCTTTCCGTCTCGGCTTTCTTAAAGATTCGGCGCTCAGGGAGGAAATATTTTCCGGGGTCTCAGACGAATACTTTAGGGAAAGAACGTGTGATGATTAACGTCGTCGAGGTTCTTTCGGAAAGTTCTGAGCGTGACACTGAAATTCGGTCTCAGCTGCTGCAGTACAGCTTCCGATTCTGCGGGGCGAGAAGCGTATGGTTTCAGTCGAACCGCCGATTAAAATTCCGATCTCTTCATTCAAAGGAGCAACTGACGACTCAGCAGCAGAAGATGATGGATGTGCAAAAGGAACGGGATGCCCTGGCTCGACAAATGTCTCAGACAGTGCCGAAAGACTACGCCACTCTGAGCAAAGAGCTCAATGCTGCCAGAGAGCACATGCTCGAAAGAGATGAAGAAATTGCCGGTAAGGGAGCGCCAATGAGCCGTGGCTCGAAATAAGTTTCAATCGAAGCTTGAAACGCTCTCAAATCAGTCCGCGATCTCGTCTGCACCACATTTGCTCATTCAGGAGGATTTGATAGCCGTCCATCAGCTTGAGAATTCCTTTATTTGAGTGTTTCACGGATGTCTGAGAATTCATGGAAGTGTCAGGAAGATGGCGATGTCTCGTACGAGTTTTCGTGGAGAACTTTTCGCCGCGAATGCGTTGGCTTCGGAAGCCAGTATTCGGACGATGTAGTCTTCATGTTTCTCCATTTCCAGAACTGAAAGCTGAACGAAACAATACTCGACTGCTCTTGGAACACCTCGAGTGTCTAGTTTCGAGACACGAAAGATCCCTACGAATGACCGTGGTGAAGAGGCAGGCCCAATCACCCGCTGGCGTCAGTTCGGAGGTTGAAGTTCTCAAAGCTCTCAAGAGTCTATTCGAGCACCACAAAGCTTTAGATGAGAAGGTAATGAATAATTGCAGTCTAGCCTCAGCGTGATTTCATTCAACGGTCCCGCTTCATTTTCGATGCTCTGCGGGGATGAGTAACCTGATGGATCTCTTCAAAGGTGCGAGAGCGTCTCCGGGCGGCTCTGGAACGGGTTTCGCAACTCGAAGAGGAACTATCTCGGACAACGGATCAGTTGTCCCAAGTAACTAGTCAACAGAACGTTCAACATCGACATCAGCAAGCAAACCAACAGCCTCCCATAATTCAGGTTGGTACTCTCAACTGTTCACGCTCTTCCATTGTCAACGTCTTCCTGCCCTCGGGGAAATGATCCCACGCAAGCTGGTCTTCTCAGACTCACACATGGTGTCGATCTGTGAGCGGACAGCGCTGCTCATTCTGCCAAGCTTGCAGTCGATCAAAGAGATTCCCGGATGAGATTGGAAATCATCACGCGAGAATATACTGAACTTATCGCTCTTGTTTTCGAGAATTCAAAGCAAATACTCTCATCCCTGCAGAGTTCCGCGCAAGCATCCAACCATTCGGAAGAGGCGTCCCAGGGCAAAGCGTCGCAATCCGGCGCAAACCAGACAGTTCAAGATCTGGAGAGCCAACTAGAACGACAAACGGCTGAGTTAGCTCGGAGTCGCGGTCAGATTGTCGAATTGAAGGCTCGTTGCAGAGACATCGAAGAGGTAATTTCTAGGCCGTAGGCGCACCGAATCGAAGAATTGCACTTTGAATTAGCTCCGCTGGATATCCTTCAGATGGAGAATGACGGGGTCTCTGGAATTTTTCTGCAGGTACTTCGAGATACCCAGAAAGAACTTCTGCAAATGAAGGAGGAGAACCAACGGCTGTGTCGCGACCTCGCGGAGAACAATGCTCAAAAAGAAGATCAAGAAGAGCGAATAGCCACTCTAGAGAAACGGTTCGTTTTCTAACGATTCTACTCAAGTTGAGATTTCTTTTTCCGATAGCGTGAGTTCTTAGTGAGTCTGGGCTCCGGGAATTTTCGCGCCATGTATAAGCAATGGAATCACGGGATCTCAATATTTCGGTTACGAGCGTTCTGATTCGAGACCGCGCCGTATCGAGATGCAAGGAGCAAGAGCCAGCGGCGCAAACCGTAGAACCAACCAATCGGGGGAAGATTTTCAACTGAATAGAGCACCGGAGTCTCAGGAATTTCCTCGGATTCGGAATTATGTGATATCACAATCGTGAGAGTCTGAATAATTTCATTGGTTCCTATCGGTGCGACCCTCGGGTGACCGAAGCGATTCTCCTGAACGTGGAGGAGATCGGATGGGAACATTAGAATAAACACGCAAAGTCGGGCCCTGGGTTCAAATTTCGGAACGAAGGAAGCAGATAGAAACGAGCTTGGGTCTGCTCGAGTCATTCTGAACATCCAAATTTGCTTGCAGGTGCCTAAATGCGCAGCGTGAGTCAGTCTCCCTGCACGACGTGAACGAGAAACTGGAACATGAAGTGTCAGCGCATTCGGCGCAGCTACGACTGGCGGAGGAAAGGTGTCGCTCCCTGCAAGAGCGACTGCAAATGGCGGAAGAGAAAGTTCTGTCGGCCTCGGCTCGGGAAGAGAAACTCATCGAAGAAGCTGCCAAAGCTACCGCTGCCGCCGAAGCGGCCCAGAGCAGCGGTGAAGCCGGAGCGCAAACCAAGGCACAGATTGATAAGAGTGTCCAGGACAGACTCACGCGACTCGAGCTCCAGCTCGAGGAGAAGTCGCAAGAGCTGACCCGTGCTCGTCAAAGAGAGAAGATGAATGAGGAGCACTCTCAGAAACTCAGCGGTACGGTCGATAAACTTCTACAAGAGAGCAAGGAACGACTCGAGATGCAGCTCAAGGAGAGGATGGAAGCGCTCGAGGAGAAGAACTGTCTCATACAAGAATTGGACAAAACACGGAAAGCTGTCGAGGGTGCCGCCAGCGAACGATCGAAAGTCGTTCAGGAAGTTGAGCGAATGCGAGCGGAAATCGTGCACATGCAGCAGTTCCACGAGGAGCAGCTTGCGACTGCTCATGCAATGGGTGAGTTCACGGACAGGAGAGAGGCGGAAGATCTGGCTTCGCCCCCTCCAACTCCACAACAATGTCTCCGAGTGAACGGCTAATCGTTTTTCATTGAACGATGAACGGCTAACTTGATAATTTCTTTTTATTTTTTTCGCAGCGACCGAATATGCCAACGTATCGTTATCCAATGGTCTCGAGCATCATTCAGAAAAAGAAGATGCGGATACCAAATGGATAATGGGCGACCCTGCATCTGACCAAAGCGAAGCTCAAGCATTGGCCATGATGCTCCAACACCAACTGGATGCCATCAACAACGAAATCCTCCTCATCCAAGAAGAGAAGGTGAGTTCCACGCTCCCCATGAGATCCCCTTCCCCGTTGGATGGTACGTCCAGTGGTCAAGAGAGTTCCCCCCCGTCCCTGTCTCGTCGGTCTTATTCCTGATGGCGCTTGGTTTTCAATGCTCGCTTTCGATAGGAAAACACGGAACAGCGCGCCGAGGAATTGGAATCGCGCGTTGCGGATTCTTGGCATCGATCGCAATTGATCTCTGCGGCGCAGGCTCAACAACAGGTCAGTAGAAGATTTTCCAATACGAAATACCCCAAACCCGGTTCACAAATATCTGGCAAGGATCCTCATCTCAACGTTTTTCGCCGAAGGTTTCGTCGCAGCAAACGCACCCCATGGAAGCCCGGTCGATACCGTCATCGACGAATATATCACAACAAGCGAACGCGGTCTCAAGCGTTATGTTCCATGGTGTCGGACCAATGGAGCATCGGCCTCTCGCGCAGAGCCGAACCATGGCGCAGATCATAGCTGAGCGACAAATGCACTGCAATCTGATGATGCGTGACGTCAGTGGACTTCAGAGTCCCGCCGGTGGAATGAGGTAGGCTGCCTTGCTTGATATGCACTTGTCGATTCTGCATGGGACGCTAGGCTCAAGCTAACGGTCATTCTCCCTGTGTCAATCAGCACGGCGACTTCCCAAGAATCCCTGTCGGGCAAGAAGAAGAACAAAGGCATCAAGAGCTCATTCGGACGCTTATTCACAAAGAAAGACAAGAAGAGCAATTCGAGTAAGCGAAACAGCGATTTTCTCTCATCTAGGATTCCTCGACGGGATCATCAGATATATATATTCTCCGGATATATTCAGGAGAGTATCAGATGTCATCATCTATCTGGAGGCGGGAAATCGAAAAGCTCAGTTCCTCTCTCTCTCCTTAACAGTGGTGGGGATCAGCAATATGTACTCGGACAGTGAGTACGGTAGCTGCAGTGACATAGTCGGTTCCCAATCCGGCTTAGCGTCCCCGACAGCCTCCATATCATCGAGAGACCTGGCGGGATTCGCTCGAGGCGCTGGGAAAGACTCTCAAGCCACCGTCGACCGACGAACGAAAAACAAACATGATTTGCTCATGGAGTCGTTGAAGGTATTTTATGTCGGCAGCGCATTCTCTCGCTGCTTATTCATTCGCGACGTCCCATCGTGCCGGCGGTATAACATTCTTCGGGACACGATTGCAGGCCGGGACGCCATTTGCACTCTGGAATGGGCCGACGATTGTGGCCTGGCTGGAATTGTGGGTTGGAATGCCTCCTTGGTATGTTGCTGCATGCAGAGCAAACGTCAAGTCGGGAGCTATCATGTCCGCTCTCTCTGACACCGAAATACAACGAGAGATCGGAATAAGCAATCCCTTACATCGACTGAAACTTCGGCTGGCCATTCAGGTAGGGTATTTCCTCGAGCATCACGATCAGCGGAAACGTGAATCTCTTCTCGACAACCCCCGATACATAATTGACATAATTTGGAATGGCGTCACTCCCCATGGGGGATATCGGCTGAAAAATCTCTTGACTATGACAATCAATTCCAGGAAATGGTGGCATTGACAGCTCCGGCTGGACAAGGAAGCAGCGGAGGTCCTCAAGGAGTTGGACCTGCGAAGCCACTTTTGCTGCCAAATGGCGGTTTAGCGTTCGGTGAAATGAATCACGAATGGCTCGGAAACGAGTGGTTGCCTTCACTCGGCCTGGCACAATACAGGTCTACATTCATGGAGTGCTTGGTGGATGCCCGAATGCTCGAACATCTCACGAAAAAAGATTTGAGAGTCCACCTGAAAATGGTCGACAACCTCCACCGTATATCTCTGACGTGCGGGTTCCAATGTCTGAAACGATTGAATTTTGATCGTATCCAACTCGAAGAAAGGTGAGTTTGGCTTCTTTGCTGGGCGAGGGAATCTGCCCTTGATCGACACCCATGATTCTGAGTTTTCTGCGTCGGAATCGAGCAATGAGCGATACGGTGTGCTTTCAGACGACGCCTCGCCGAACATGAATCTTCGCGCGATGTCCTCGTCTGGTCGAACGAGCGAGTGATGCGCTGGTTGAATCAAGTCGGTCTCCGGGATTATGCGGCAAACATACACCTAGAAAGTGGTGTCCACGGTGCATTGATTGCTCTCGACGAGGTAAGTGATCAATAATCACGCTCATCATTCTCTCGTTCCCCCGAAAGGAATAAATCAAAATCAGATCACGAGCTCCCCATGCTAGTGATCCTACAGGTTGGAGAGCACAACCCCCAGTAGCGGGACGGACAGTCAGAAAATACGTTGATCATGAAATTATTGTGCCGCAATCGAATCTGAGCTGACACGATTTCTACTTGCAGGCTTTCGATGCAAACGCGATGGCGATTTTGTTGCAAATACCTTCACAGAACACGAAAGCCCGTGAAACACTGGAACTTGAGTTCAACCAACTCATACTCCATGGCACGGAAAGGGGGGCTGCCGTTGGACCAGGTGGCGAAGGTAACAGGGTGAGTGTTCCAGCTCAGACTTCAAGGCGGATGAGCCCCATTGGGAGCATTTTCCCCTGAACCTATTGTGACCGAGCCGAATTTTCCAGGTGCCATCACACCACAGCCTTAGCAATCTTCCATCGCTGCAGGGTGATCGTTTAGTTTGAACGGGGAATTAGATTTTCGACAAGACAACGCAGTCCACAACGCCATGTAGCCAACCTAGAGCTATGCTACAGCTATAATAATTGCACTTGAAAGCCCGAACAAACTCTTGTCACACCAAACAACTTGATGTTAACACAGGGAACCTTGTACATTAGGACGAGATGAACGTAGTCAGATTGAAAGTGAAATATGAATCACTCCGACTCGACATCCGATATGGGAGAACACACGAATTAATCACCACCGGCTTTTTGTACAGTCTCTTATGGAAGAAGAAGAAGAAGAGAGCAAGCGGACGAAAACCTCGCCCTCGGAACGCTCATACGGATCCAAATACAGCAGGCCGCGACGGGCCCCGACCTTGGGTTTGGAAGTGGGAACGAACTAGAGTCGATCAGGAAATTCCACTGGGAAGCAACACAGTCACTTAATACGGTTCTTGTCATAGTTAGTCACGGTAGCTCGGAAACTATTGCGATCATTGTACGATTCGGAGCGAAGGGGAGACCGGAGTCGCAAACGAGAGGATCTCACTATGTGCCATTCAAGAAAGCTGATATCTATTCCAAACTGGATTCCAACCATATCAAGCCGTTTGTATTGTTCCCGGAGTTCTCTTAATTTTGCCAAACGTTTCTCATATCAATCACTTTTGTTCCTTTTGTAATTTGCGGTGAAAGTTGAAAGGTTGTATCTTTGAAGGTGTCGAAGTTGCAGTATCCAAAGCAATCGACTGTAATTCCACTGTAAATCCTTATTTGTATGTTCATTACGATGCGCGACTCGTTATGAGCAGCGGGTCGTAGGCATTCACGTCCTTCGATAACACTAGGTTTTTCCAAGTTATGCGTTCCGACAAAATGACGACGACGATTGTACGATAAACGACGACATTGATAATAATATATAATCTTATTATTAATGAATTATTATCATTATAATTATTATTACGAGTCATAGAACGAGCGGACTTAGGAGACTTTCGAACGAAAATCGAATGACCAGGAATCGATTGATGAATAAATACGAGTACGTAATAGAGACGGAGAAGAGAGAACTTAGAAAGCGATCGCCATTTCTCATGAGTTCGATGAACAGATTCTGGCTTGACCGAGTCCGGATCGTGTCATCGTGTGTAATGTTCACGTTGCGGCAGAACGTGCAAGGCATGGAACTCGGAATAATTCAATAAACACAAGCTGCAATGTATGTGATAAACATTTGTGCTATCATTCAAGCCATCGTGAATCTCAGAGACTCGACGCGGAATATCGGCGCAGAGTACCACTACTCGCCGATGCGTCACATCGCTATCCTGAGTACTGACCACGGAATGGACTAAAGTGGACTTCGCCAACCGCGACTTAGTGGTTCCTTTGTACCCTTTCTTAATTCGCATGAGACATGAGGGATCTTGCCGCAGGTCATTGCTACGAGTACATCGGTTGAAATCGGCGTCCAGCTCTCTTTGCTCAATACTGCGCAATCCACTCCGGAATAAGCATGTCTCTTGCTCCAGAAGGTAAGAACTCGCGAGATTTCGCAGTCCTCCATTCGAGAGGAAACGATTCGCTGATATTGACATCTTGCATGCTACCGTTAATAGTGAGGGCTTCACGTAGAGGCGACGCGTGCTGTGCGCCGCGGTATGGCTCGACGCCAAATGCTACAAGCAATCTCCTGTGCTCATGGACCCGTCATTCATCACCAGTTCTACGGGGGCGTGCGTTTTCCCGTAATTATTTATAGAGAGCGGAAATACGATGAGCGCTAAGGTCTGACGATTTCTCGCTTCACGAGAAGGCTCTGTGGGTCAGGACGGAATACATGCGGCGCAGCCGGAGGGGAATTTAGATCACAACGACGGGAAAAGAATCTGCGGTAGATTTGGTTTTCCTCTGTTCAGAGCTCCCTTTTTGTCGAGGGTCGTCTGTGATCCGCCCACGCTCATCTTGGAATATCTGGGACGTCTCGGTGCGTGTGGATAGGTGAAGTGATTGGATACGGACGTTCCGCTCGGATATGGCTTCCAAACTCGGATTCTCGGAGAGAGACTAATGAGATTCTCGAAGAATCGTCCAGAAATATTCACGCAGAAAACGACTTACGCACGCGCGTGCGCCAATGGAGGTAATGTATACCTCACTCCTTGAGGAGAGAAATTCGGACAGTCGTGCCCAAACTCCTTCGAGTGAGATTCCCGGGGCTGAACTTCCGATATCCCTCGATATCGACGCAGGAAACAAAAACCTTGTCCATGGGTGAATCATGCCAGATCTTTACTGTGGTGATCAGAGATTACGCTCAGAAGAATGCTGTATTGAGCTACATGCTACAAGACGCCATCTCTGTCTGTTACTGACCAAAAGAATAATCGTCGCTGAAAAGTACTTATACTCACTCAGTCAGAAGCATGCGGCTCATTTTTCACTCAATGTCCACGTGAAGAGCCGCATGATTCGATCTGCAATAGAAGCTCTTCCCCTCTCAATTGCTCCCCAGATTACGCCGATGTATTCGCCTTATTCGACACGGTTGGTGACGGTAAGGTCTTCGTCAAGCATCTGGGCGATGTCCTCCGCGCATGTGGCCAGAACCCGACGGCGAGTCTGCTCGAAAAGTGCACCGGAGACTACGCCCCGGGTGAGATTTTGATTTGCCCGTCCGTCGAAATCGAGTTCCCGTCCATCATCCATGAGACATCGCCATTCAAATTCGTAATCTCTAGTGATTCGTAATCGCTCCTCAGACGATCGCCTAAGCCTGGACCAATTCATGCCGATACGCAATAACGTGGAGAAACGGAAACCGAGTTTCAGCCCAGCCGAAATCGTAGAGGTGAGCCGGTGGAAGAACCCCGATCCGAATCATCAGAAGAGTCCTCGATAACTATTCTGAACTTTCTTCTCCCCCAGGTTCTGCGGAATTTCGACAGGCAGGGAAACGGCTTTATGCAAACAGCAGAACTCAAACGAATCCTCACGTCGATCGGTGATAAGCTGAGCGAAGAAGAAGCCCAGCAGATCCTCGAGGGGATAGAGAATTCCTACGGGAACATCAACTACGAAGGTGAGCTTGTCCAACGATTCTCATGTGGATCCCCGACCGTGCACGCGAAGCATCAGCTCTGAGACCTCTCGTCGAATGTTCGTCGCTTCGAGAACCTTGCGAGCCGCAGGAGGAACGAATCGTTAACGTTATGAATACCGTGCGAGAAGCTCGAGACTATGCGAGGTCAGAATCCTTCGTTTGTTAAATAGACGAGTTCTAGGGTTCGCGCGTGTCCCTGATTGGGCACATCGCTCTCTCGCTCCGGTAACGAGCTCAGGGAGACAGGGGTCGAAGGAGGAACGAGTTCGCCGCTGTTGGGCCCTCAACAATAATAATCTGGCGATGCGCATATGTGGGTCCGCGAGAGCACTGAATTCTGTCTCAGAGCGGGGAAAATCGCTTGGACGAGGAGTGTCTCAGAGTTACAGGCATACGAATTGATCGGATAGCTCTTGCCGCTTACAGCCTGGCTCCGGTTGTACTATTTATGCGAGCACGTAGCGGGTATCCGCGCATCCGAATCGATGCGGTATATGATGTGACTCGAAAATTTACGCGCGAGCCTCGTCTCAAGCGGGGAGGCCTTGTGCGAGGGCCAGACGTTCGGCAATGAACCAGTAACAGGAATATGTAGCTCCCATGCGTTCGGAGGTTCTGCTTCCCATCGGCCCCTTCGCGTGGGATGACGATGCTTTAGATATTCCTTCGCTCTTTCCCCGTCGTGGACTGGGATGGGCGATGAGATAGAATATCCATTCTCTCGTCACGAAATCCCTCGCTCCTCATTGTGACTTCGAATTTTATCGAGTGTTTGAATGTCTACATGCGATGTCTTCGCTGACTTCTCATCTCCAACATATTGGTCAGGAGAAAGACAGGACATGTCATCATCTCTCATGCTGGTCCTCGCCCAGATGAGTATTGTTGTGCTCACATCGCAGGATTGATCAATAGTCGAGGGACATAACCTTCTTTCCTGGAACGACTCTGCAACAGTATTCCCGTTCGGATGATCGATTTGGTCGGCTCGGTGATCAACGGCGTGGAGAAACCTCGCTAGCACGGGTTAAAGCCGCAAATCTTACGGAACATTTCCTTAGGTGAAAAAAGACGGTCAATCCTCCCGTTCGAGTCCCTCGATCTAGGCGCGGCGTAATCGGAACGTGAACTGGATCGCCTCCGCGTCTGATGTGCTGCATATCGTATCGTCACCGCGACGCTGCGCTGTTTTCTGGGGTATCAGGGGGCTATCCGAAGAACCCACACTGAAATTGTCTGGCTCATGCTTCTCCTGGAAGCAGCAAACTTCAAGCCAGCATAAGCAGCGAGAATCTTGCTCAGCTGAGAAATCGACAATCGGACGAGTTACGATTCCAGGCTTCATTGATTTCCTTCGCGGTTTTGTTTGATGAATCGAGCCGGAATCTTCGTGGTGGCTTCGAGACAGAGACGTAGGGAGATTTCATCGAGCCGCCAGGGGCGCTTGGCTTCACGTCAGTCGGTGCCAACACGAGGGTTGGGCGACTGCTAAGATCAAGGGAGGGTGAAGAAGCGAAAGTCCCAGAGGCGGAGCACATTATGGCAGTGGGGCGAGTCAGGCCGAGGGGAGCTTCGGAAGAACGTCCGGGATCCAGCCTTTTGATCTAGAGACCCTGGTGCTACTCCCCAAGGAAGTAAATTGGCTTAGCTCAGCTCCCTTTTTGCCTGATGCACCAAGTCGGGCCGCCCGACCAGCCGTCCGGCCAAACAGTCAGCCATCTCAACTGCCACCCAGGCCCAAACCCACCCGTCCTACCATAAGATAGATAGAACTTTCTCAGTCTTGAAGCGGCGAAACGGTTCTGCATGTTGATAAGTCGGTAGAGAGCCCCTGTGCATCCAGCGTAGGAGACTGAAATTACGGAATTGTATCCCCGGCTGTCCTATGTAATGCGAGACAACTGGGAATTCGGGAGATACCAGTTGATAAACAGAAAAAGGGCATTAACCGTTCCTTGTATCAGAAATCTCTTGGGTTCTGCTGCGAGGGATCAATTCCAAGAGAAGATGTAGGCAAGGAAACCCTCCCCGATGAAATACAATGCGTCGGACTTGAAGCTCCTGTACTAGCAAATATTCGGAGGAAATCTATGATGGGTCGAATTCGGTTCCTCCCAATTCGACGCACGGCCAGATGATGCTCATATACCTGACGAGAGTCTTTCTTGATTCCAGAATTCGTGAGAATCATCGTTTCAAATTGAATGAGGGACTCGGCTTGCTCGAGACGAGGTCCCTCATCCTCTTCTCCAGCAGTCGGGAAGCGGGCTCGGAAAGATATTTTTTTGAGATCGTGACGATGAGGACTTTGTGAATTTTCATCATAAATTTGGTTTATTTCTGGTTTATTCAATATCGTCCTCCGTCGACTCTATCATCGATCCTCAATGGCGCATTTCTGAGTTACATTTTGATATTACAATATACGATTTTATACAAGGCTTATCGGTCTCGGGCTGCCTGCATCTTCGCTGTCGAGTTCAAAACATACTCATTCTTTTGTAAGTTATCAGAGAGAGGTCGCCTCCCCTCGCCTCCTGCAAGATCGTACGTGACAGAATCGCAGTTATCGTTAGCATCGTCATTTGTTTTCACTCGGACCGAGCGGGAAAGCACCACGAAGTTGTTACGAGCGTGGCGAACGTCTGACTAGAATTTCGTGAGCCCAGATTGTCCGTTGCCGTAGTGGTTATAGTGTTAGTAATGATAAGATTAGTATGTCTTTCTGTATTCACTCGTCATAGATTCGCTTCTTGTCTTCTGCTTCATCTAGGCTCCTCTGCGGATCACATCAATTGAATTGTTGGCAAACACAAGAAATGAGACTCGATGGAGACTGTCAAGCAATTCTGTCTGATGAGCGTCACCATTTTAAAACTCTACGATACCTTCCTTCATGTTCGGAGAGTTTGCCGCCCCGATCGACTCATCCACAAATTCAGGAACCGAGCATATCGCTCCTTCGCTCCGGTCTCGTCTCTCTGCACAATAATCGAGAGCTCCGGAACAACTCAGCCGACACGCTCGGTGTGTTCTTCTGCCTTTCAGGGCCCGAAAGTAACACAAGCATACGAAAAAGTACCGCTGTGTGGACTCATCCTCAGATTGCTGTAAGTTGTTGAACAAGTCGTGCTGGGTCGTAGAAAACGCTCTCTATGTACACGGATGATTCTGCAATCGTAAGCTCTTTCTCCTGATATTGGGGGTTCTCTCGATAGTATTCCGCTTCCTAATCCAAACAGAACCTGGAAACAGCTGTCTCGTTGCTCATGGTCGAACCGAAGTCACTCCGGGCGTTCTGTATCGCGTCGTTTGCCATAAGATCATACGACATTGCTATCACTGTCTAGCTCGAGGGGTAATGTAATGACGAAGAATTCAATCGAAGTCCCGCTAAAGCTCCTGCCTGAAAAATACACGAGCATTTCTTGAGCCCTGGCATCCCAAGATCTTTCGCTCCCGAGGCTCGACCTTCTCCGCAGCCGTCTTCGCATGCGGTTCCGAACGGAAGCGTCGATGTTGCCGAGGTCGGTGAGTGAATCGAGAGTGAATCGCTGGCCAAACTCACCTTTGTATACCATTCGTGACCCGGCGAGTTGCTTGCGGAATTGCCGGATGTCCCCTGAGAGTGGAATGGTGTCCCCGCTTGAGATGATGGACAATAGGGGTTGCCTTGCGCCGCCATGTAGTGCGATGGCGATGGTCCGCTCAAACTCTGAGGAGGTGGTCCATATCCAGCACCGGGATAACCTCCTACGACACCGGGACTTTGTTGAGCGGCTCCGGTGGGGTACATGGATCTCATGCAAGCCGCCGGTAACATCGCTGACGGGCCAGCCAAGGCTCTTTGGAGTTGTTTCTCTTGCTTGCGATACTTTGCTCGTCGGTTTTGAAACCAGACCTGAGAGGACAAGGATTCTCCGTTCAGGATACATGAAATCTTCCGGACTATTCCCGTCTCTGGATGGTTGCCTCCATCACGATCGGACTTACTTGGATCCGCGCCTCGTTGAGCTTCGTTATGCGAGCCAATTCTTCTCTGCAGTATATGTCTGGATAATGACTCTTAGCGAAAGCAGATTCTAATTCCTGCAGCTGCTCTTGGGTGAACGTCGTCCTGCAGGAGGATAAGGGACAATTTGTCACGTCATCAGCACGGTGGTGCTCCGCTTCAAATTCCATTATTCGGAGCGGTGTATGTAGAACTCAGCCTATCTGGGAGATATTCTTGCGAATAGTCGGAGTGCAATGGGTGGATTTGGGGGATGATTCTCCGAAAATCTCGAGAACACCGGCAATGCTCCGTGAGTACTCGCGAGACTCGACCGCGAGCCCAGTCTTCCATACATGCTCACTTGATTTCAGGAGCGTCACTGCTCAATGTGAATTGAACTCACCTGTGTCTTCTCCGAGCTGGAGTTTGAGGCAAGCAAGCCGGAGAGCTAAGAGATCCTTGAGGTGCAGTAGACAGCGGGAGGCAGCCGGGTTCCACCTTCAGCTTTTTGAACGCGCCACCTGGAAAGCCACTCCATAAGACATTCTTCTCGGCTTGGGCTAGGTATTCCGCTATGTTCTGCGGCTGGTCAGGACCGAAAGCGAGATAAGGGTTCGCAAGGCCTACGACACGCTCAACGAGTCCCTAGCTTTGACGAGACCCCATATTTCGGGGATGCGCACCAGAACGCAGCGCCGCAATCGCTGCCTCTGAAGCCGTTGACGAGTTCGATAGATCCGAGGATCATGATCGCGAACATTCCTCCGGAATGGGGAATCACAGCATACCGCAAATCTTCACTGACGTCTCGCGCGCAGAATTCTCGAATACGGTGAGACACAACCGACGAATTACGAGCTGGCTTCCGAGTTCAGCTCATCGACGGGATCGCGCAGGTGTCCTAATCCGGAAAGCAGATGTGTATAAATCGAGGCGAGGGTTTGCAAGTCTCGCTGAGGCTTCGGGAACCGGAGGTCTCTCGCGGAACGCGTTCCCCAAGAGCAGCCGTGCTGTCGGTGCCCGTCATGGCGGCGGCGCGGCGCACTTCCAATGAGCTGTTTTTTCACGATATCGAATGCTTCTCGACTTGAGACCAAGACCATCCATGGTGTCCGATGGATGTGCAGACTTCATGGGAATTACGGACTATTCGCAGGAACTCTCACGAGCTCCGATGGAGAGGGAGTTTTGATTACGTCTGAGGCTCCAAGACGACTGCTGGCGTCACGCCTGGGTCAGAATCGGCTCCTTATAGTAATAGTCAATGGGTCAGTGCGGCCAGCAGGTTGTTTGAAAATTCCATCGCCCCCCTGCAGTGAGTGGACGGAGCGGTCTGAGAGAATTGTTTGAATTCCGGCTTTCTCCAAAGTGTCGAGACTCGGAAAGATTTCGACTCTCTCCGGAAATCAGTCGGTCGCGGCCGATGTAATGGGTTCGAATGTAGTCCGGCATCTACCCGAAAAGAATTGGCATACCGATGAAGGAACAGGAGGGAACCTAAGGAAAATCAAGGTTGATATTATATGACTTTCTGGAAAACCTAATGGTGACGCAAGAAGGCCGGCCGCTGCGTCCGAAGTAGCAATCTTCCGTACAAAACAAAGTAGCAGCACGGATCGAAAGTTATCAGCGCAAACTCGCATGTGACGTGTTAAGAGTCCTCACCCCTCGACCATACGTCAGTTTTGACTCCAACCCGTCCCATTTGGCTATCAAACCGGGTGGAACATCCGCTCTCTGGACTCGCGAAATTACGGGAGAAGCCTTCGAAGGTCGTAGTCTAGAATTCTAGAGGACATGCCTTTGTGGTTCCAATCTCGCCTTGGAATATTTTGCCGCGAGAGCTTCCCACGAGAATAAGTTCATTCCCCGATGCTTCTGTGCGAGAAGGTCTAGCCCATTCGATAGGCAGTTTCGATCGATAGTATTTCCACATACAGTTTGACCCACTCATGGGAAAATTGCATCTGAGAGGGGACCGCGCGAGAGAGACCTGAATAATCCTACCGTCTTATATCGGGGTCGTGCTTTGGGAAACCACACGTATGAGGAAACTTCATATAGAGGAATGCTTTCGATTCCCGGAAGCTCTCTCATGAGCGGATTCGACTGCAATACATGATGGAGGTACGTATTGGTGCGTTACTTCCTGTATTTTATTTCACGTCTGACCCCTCTGTTTTGCCATCGAATCTTCCCTTTTCGCTTCCATAACGACTGGTTACGGTAATCCTTGTTTCGAATTTCTCCCCATCAGACCATCCGCTCGACAACCGCTGACACATCGCGCGAAGAGGGTCTCGAAAATCCTCCTTTATGTGAATCCTGCCTCTACGAGTCATTCACCCGGGAATTCGATGATCATTGGAAGGTAGACGCTTCCTTCTTACGGGGATGACAAGATGATTGAGAGAGGGTTAGACGCCTCCCAATCTTGGCCGAGTTGGAGCTTTCGGGCCCCGAATTTTCCGACGGGAATCCAGCGAGTTTTTTTTCAGCGGAAACGTATCGCAGATCACCCCCACTCGCTCTCCGTTCCGATGCTTGCGAGTTCGTCCGCTCCTCCGCGCGTGGTGACGATGGGCGAATCGGAAAGGTCGCGGAGGGAACTCCGACCGCATCTCCGTGACTGGACGGGGAGGCGTATAAAGGAATGGATTGATGGGTGAAGAGCGCTCAGCAGGGTGGAAGAAATATGATACCCGCCAGTAAATATCGAGGCAAGATCCGTGCCTAATTGGTCCAGCTTTCCATCCTTCGAGGAGGCTCTGACCTTTTCAGAGGACTTGCACGATAATTTAAGGGAACGATTCCGATGATGAATTCTAGGCTGAGGGTCTTCTCAATGGAGAGTTTCCGTATGGTACGTGAGAGTATCGAATTCGAGCGTGCTTCACAGAACTAGTAGCTCAAGAAAAAGAAACAGAGAGAGTCGGCTGTCAGCGCACTGCTTGTGTAAGGTGAGAGACTTCCTGAATGAAACGTCGGCATCGTTGGCCCGCTTGACTGCCACCGTGTCCGCCTGTCTGGCTGCGACAGTGCCTGAACGCGCTTGAAAGGTTCTGATAGTTGAGCACAAATGCTGGCTTCATGTCGACTGTCGCACACTAGACCGATCTGTCACTGCTGTGGCTCACACTCTGCGACTTTTTGTCTTCGAGCTTTCACCGGGCACTTATACCGCTACTGTCCGCGAGGCGTCGGTCGGAGCAAAACTCGAAAAGCAAAGGGGCGGCTGTCCATCAATGAGCTTTGGCTCGAAATCCGTCGGGTATCGCCGCTATCGCAACGTCTGAGTCTCAGTCGTCCTCGCATCGCGCCGAAGTTCCCTCAGGGCTCTTACGGGGAAGGACCGGAGTCCCGGAACGAAAAATTTCCCTGCCCAGCATTACTTCCCGCCGCTTGGAAGACACAACTGAAACTAACGGCTCGTCTGCAGTTGATTCGGTCGGTGTGATCTGACTTCACGTGCCATTCGAAGGAGATTTCGGTCGTAATTATTGACCACGCGATTATTTTTGGCGAAACACGCAGGGGGTCAAAGGTTCAAGCCACTTGGGCTCCGCGAATGCTTATCAGAGCCGAGCGCGACAAAAAAGCTTTTATCGCGAGTGACATGTAGAGGAGATCGTCTGAGTCATAAAGTTGTCTGAGCCTCGAGCGACTGATCGCGCCACTGAAATTCCCGCTGTCCTAATGCCGGATTCCAGGATTTGGTTCGGAGAGTTGCGACTCCTGATCGACGAGCCTGAGGCGATCGTCAAGAGGAAGATTGACGCATTCTTCCAATCTGCCGATTGCCTCTGTCGGAGTTTGGAGGAGTGGAGAAACACTTTCCGGAGCGATCGTACGGGCGTCGACGCGACCGTCTAGCTCTATTCGAATTATTCAGTGTCGGCGATTGTGAGCTTTGGTCTCGATTTAGAGTGACTCGATTAGAATTCCGATCGGGAAAGCTCACGTCACCGATGAATGACGGAGACCAGTGTAATTTGTCGCCGAAAGAATCACCCAGATGGGAATTCCGATAGGGTCACGAATACTTTCCGATATTCGAATAAATTCCGATTTCTGGCAATCATCCGGAGTCGTTGGATCCGCCCCGAAGATGGCGTGGTTCGGAGACTAGGTACTTGCCTGAGGTATTCTTGTTATAAGGAGAATGGGCGCCCACTGGGAGTAGATTGTCGGTCGGCGTATTCGAAGGCGATGGCGGTGCCATATGTGGAGAGTTGTACAGAAAAGAACTGCCCGAGCCGCCTTTTCCCAAGACGAGCGGTGGAAGAGGCTTCTCCACGGGTGATGGACTCGGTGAATTCTGAAAGTGACAGTATTGGATGACTTTGGTGATTTTCGGGACGCGGATCCAAAAATGGTACCCTGCCTATCGAAAATTGCGGCGAAGAGGAACGGGATGAGTTCCGAAATCCGAGCTCCGGAGCTCACGGGAAAAACAGAATCTCTGAACACTCATGGTTGGAGCGCTCAACGGCAGCGCGGAGGATTTTACTGGCATGGCTCTTTCTTATCTAATGGATATTCGCCGAGTTAGGGAGAAGCGTCCTGTCTCCATTTCCTATGATGGGCTCGATGTGTCCTGATCGGTTAGAAGTTTGGGACGAGCAGAGTACTTTCGGTCATTTTGCCGCGACGGAGCACGAAGTACGTAGCTGAGGGCTTTCGCGGAGAACCCTCCGGAGTTCCGGTAGGATATGCGGTTAATCGAGGATTCCGCTAGAATCGAGCCCAGCAAAAGAAGCAAGCTCGTTTAACTTGAACTCAATATCAAGAGCCCCTGTGCTGGGACTAGAGTCTGAAGAATTACTTGTGATTGATTCGAGAGCTCTCGTTTACGACCTCAAAGCATTTTTGACATCGGGAAGGTCAACCAGACACTTGTGCTGTTCTCGAGACGACGTCGATATTCAAATCCGGTTGCTCTTACGGGGAGCGTGAGCTAGTTTCAGCTAACCTTGTGCTTATGCTCATTCATAAAGTTAGCTCAAAATCAAGAGTCAGAGGTTGCACAGGTGCCTCGACATTCTCCCTTCCGATCGCGGCTGATAAGCAGACGACGATACGCACGAGACGATCCGGCCAGAACAATTAGACTTCGTAGTGAATTCTCACCTGCTCTGCGTTAAGCCTTCCGTTGACTTGCGCGACGGCGGACGCTAAGGAATTGGTTCCGCAAAGACTACACCAACTTCTCCCGCAATCGCAACCTGTGTGTCGTTCCACCATCCCGGCTGCTAACCCACCCCCGAATTGTCGGAGGGTTTCGTCTCTGAGCAGCAGCCTGTCCGTCGTCGTGTCTTTGGCTCGAATAATAGTTTTTTCGGATTCCTTCGCACAAAATTCCGATGCGATCACTGTACTTCACACCGCGTACACTCTACACCCGCGCACGTAGATAACATAGTTGGGAAACGGACGGACGAACAGCTGACGAAAGAATGGACGGTCCGTCGATCGGTCGTTTGCTCGATCGCTCGTTCGGCCGGTCAGTACGTCAGTCAGTCAGTCGGTCGGTCGGTCGGGCACTCGGTCTCAAGGACCGCTAGGCACGAAAGCGAGCGGATGAGCGAGCTAGCGATTGTTTAAAACACGGAGTAACCAACTAGTTTTCTCGCAATTAAAAGGCACGATTCGATGTCAGATTCGTGAACTTGAAGGGAGGACAGCGAATCTTCGGCAGCTCTGGTTGTCAGCACCTCTTACCGTCACTCCCATCAAGACAAACTCAATTACTCCTTAAACAGATTCTGCCTCGACACAAAAACCTGCCCCCAAGTCGGACCTCCAGCAGACTCCGCCTCTCAGCGCAGGCGCAATCCGATAGACGAGTCTGCGAATGTAATTCGTCTTGGGCGAGGATGCCACGAACCAACGCTCTCTATTCGACAGCCTCATTCTCTCGCTCGTTCGTTCGTCCGCTCTCGGCGAATGACGCCAGCGCCTCGGCTCGCGCTTCCCTTAGGCCGAGAAGCGTATTCATGCACATCGAGTCATTTTTTCTTCGCCTTTCGGGCAAGTTTCACTGGATTTCCACGGAGAAAACAGATCACAAGAACGCTCTTCGAATGAGGAAATACAAGCGAGTCAACTCTAGGGTTGTCGGGTCTGGCGTAGTCCCCGACTAGCTGAGCCATGTAATCGTTAAATCGGTCAGAGACGCTGGCTGGAGAAAGTAGGATTTCGTGGATCAGAGTGATTGTAATTTTAATGCAAGTTAGAGGCTTCCATTCTCGGAAACTGTCCAATGATTCAACCCTGCACAGAAGCATGGACGACTCCGCGAGAGTAGATCCCTTCCAAAATCAGTTTCTGGTGTTTCTGGGAAGATTCCCTGATTCCTGGCCCGATTTTCGCGGGGAACTCCACGAAAATATAAAAAATCGGCTCCTGGAGCCAACGTCCCCTTGAATCTCTGGAGATTTTCGACGCTGGGAAAATTCATCGCGGTGCTGGTGGATACTGGACCGTCCTACACTCTCCGAATATAAGGTACCAGCGCCCTCTCCTTGGATATCGACGTAGGTGGGGTCACGGACGCCACGCCTCCGGGGGGTATAGTACCGACAAATTGAGCCGGGGAACACAATCGATATTGTGCGGTCTTCTCGAGCATTCTTCCTAGGAGAGCCTGACATAGGAATGGAGGAATACAAATTAACTGACATTTTTTCCCTATCCAAATACCATCGGCGATGCATCTGTTTCGTAGGCAATACAACAAATATTGCGCCGCAAGATCTCTCCCAGACGACTTCTTGTCAGGTATTCATCTCGCTTCGGACTTATTCATGCCCCGACTCGGAGGCTCAGGCCGAACAGCTCGTAAACCGGATCCATAAGTTCGGGATACCTTAAAGTAAGATAATTCTCTAAAGACGCTGCTCGCGCTTATGATAAGCCAGGTCTCTCCAGAATTTCCTCGAGGATTTCGGGTGGATGACAGCATGAGTCTCGAATCGCTACCTCGCTACGGGGAGCTTCTCCCGAATTCGAGCCGAGGTGCATGATCCAATGATCCCTCCAGTCCCACTTCCAGCCGACTTGTTCCCTGATGTTCCATCCGGAAAGCCTACCCGTCCGCTTTCCAGTCTCATCCCAGCCTCCCGCGTGGAAAGAAAAAAACCTACTCATGGGAGAACTCGACTGTGTATTCCGATCAGAGTTTCACGGCACAATTTTGAGACACCAGAGGATCAACCTATGCGGTGTCATCATCATGAGATCGAGGACTCGCATCAGCAACATCAGACCGTTAAAATAGGCATCCATTCTTGATGATGACTCGAATTATCGTAGATATGATACTCATCGTGGGATACCGTAGGGCAATACATACGAGACTTGATCGCAGGGGGTCCTTTACTCGGCCTCATGATTCGAGGGGGGCCCGCGAGACAAGGAGGCCGAGAACTGCCGGCTCAGAGGGACTTTTACGAAGCATCGACGGAGCGCGGTCAGATCCCATGAGAAGGCTGGATAGGAACTCGATCAATGAGCCTTTCAGAGGGAGACCTCTCGGCTCAAGGGAATGGGCCGAAGAAGACTCTCCCGCGATGATGTGACCGTGGACGTTAGTCACGGATGAGCAATAATTTGGAAAGTTTCGGCCGAAGGAAATGCAGGCTCCTCAGTGAATACCTCCCAGGAGAAGGACTCCATCACGAACCCTGATGAATCACCGGAAATCCCAGGATTCTCGAGTAACCACAGCGGCCCTTCCGAAAAAAGTATCTCTTGGAACCGAAATTCCAGATGATCATTGGATTTGAACATCGCTCCCTTCGCAAGATTTTGAACGCATGTCTTTCCAGGAATGGTAGTTTGTACCATACCATGATTCAACGGAGCTCCTGGCCGCGAAGAGCTCGCGCGGGGCTGTTAAGGGCAGAACCTTCAAGCTGACCTCATTATCATCGCTTCTGCTTGCTCGGTTCCTTCAGTCCGATAAAAGTGGCCGGGACAATAGGAGGGGCTATCACTTTTCGGAACGCTCCCCATCGACTCCGGAGGTTCGCGCTCAAGAAACACGACTTCAATCTCCAGATCTCGCGGAGCGGATGGAGAGGATATATCCTGGAAGGCAAGCATGCACGATTGGCACAGCCTAGGATAGCGTTGCTGTCTCGGTAATATTCGGGAGCGAGATGGGAGAATACGCGAATTCGAACCGAGACTGATTATTCCGGGGAAGGCAACCGATCGAGCGACCTTGCAGCAGCGAAGGCCGGTTGAGTCGCTTGTGAGAAAAAAGTGCAAATAACGTCGCAGTACTGATGCTTACACATGTCCTCTTGCGGAGTTGTTGATCCATACTTCATTGATCCACATAACTCGTAATCATTCACATGAATCATATTCCTTTCCATCAGGGGCGGCTCCTCAGCGAATAACTCGGGTCTCTCATTTTGTCGCTGAAACTGTTGCTCTGATCGCTTCACCTGTCCATTGTCAAGGTCTTCCAAGAACCTTTATTTTCTTGGAACCTCTTCCTCAGGACATGCTCGACCGTTCCGTCTTCTACTCCGCGCTTAGAACAGTTCGGGTTTATATTTTGAAACTTTCAACGGTAGGCCCGAATGCGTGCCCGCTCTTGCTAATGCAATGCGTGGTGCTCCCCGCCCCCGTTCTCAAATGTACAGTAGAAGCTCGATTATATCAACCTTGATTATATCAACTCTCAAAAGCTCCACCTTGATTATATCACTTTTTGTGAGGGAAAAATGGTTGATATAATCGAGTTTCCCATGTATTCCTATGGAACCTCGATTATATCAATCCTTGATTATATCAACATTTTTTGACATCAATTAGTTGATATAATCGAGGTTCTACTGTATTGCCAAACTTTGTAACCCCTCGAGCTTCCTTAAAGTTGGCGTATAATTCCTGGCTTCGTTTCTGGCTCACACCTTCTCTCCATGTCTGGGCTTCGTGGTTTTCCGTTCCTTGTATTAAGAACCCAGAAGTGTTCGTCTCGGTTGTACCTAAATCAGTGGGCTCACCCCGCAATGGTATCTGCATCGCGAGATCTCAAGTTCTTTGGCTGTTTCTATGTAGGTATATTTTTGTGATCGCCTTCATCGACAGGATCGGCAGTGGCCACCACCATCCGGTCTCGTAGCACTTATTCTCGTGAAGTACCTGATCTTGCCCAAAGCCTCTCTCCTCCGAACGTTGACCATCCCAATTCGCCCATGATGAATTCCTTAGCAACTTTGTATCCCGTGATATCTACCTAAGGCCCGCCGGCCCCGGCCATTTGAATTTTCCCAAGGTGTGCCGTGAGCCTCCTCGTCCCTCGCCATGCATTGATAGCATTTGCGTACGTCGAGTAGCTTTCCATCGTATTTTGGACTTCTCGGACCTATCAAACGTCCATGGGCGCTGCGCGTGCCTGCGCCATTCTTCTGCTTCCCTCCCAACGTTCGTCCCATGGTATTGCGAAATGGTTCGAGCTCGCGCATGGGATTATCCCCAGGTATTCGTAATGGTCGGATAACTCCGGGTCAATCCCCTGTATCTCGAGGGTGAACCTGACTCAGGCTCACCTCGCTGAATATCACGACCGCGCACTTTTCGGGACTGAATAATTGTTGGTTCTTGTCTGAAATCAGACGTCATCCCGAGGTGAACGTCCATTTCCTCATACGAGGTGGTCGTGAGGACTCAATCGTCTGCGTATGAAAGTCCAGGTATTTTTAACGATTCGTAATCTGTGCAATGAACAATCACCAGGGATCTTCGGATTTACTCTGCCTCTGGGAGAACAGCGAACCAGGTAAAAACCCCTATGTCCTGAATTCGCTCATGAGAGACACAGAGGAAGCGATCCTGAATTCGGATATCTCGCGTTTGCTTCTTCCATGCGGTTTTCCTGTGAATCACGTCGGTAGGAGGTGGCTAGGCGGTTCTCCGAGAGGCTACGGCCTCACTGACTAGAACAGGAAAGAGTATCGAATTGCTCAGGCGTGCGAAAGTCAGCCAGGTTCATTCTCGAAGGGTCATCTCTCAAGAGGTCGACTTGCAGGTTCACTGTGCAGACTTTACTCAATATTTTGAAGCTACAGTATGATGCATCCCTCCCGCTGGCGACCGTGCTCTCGAAACAATTCAACGCGCTCTGACTCGAGTCTACGCTTCTCGCAATCACCCGTCATGTCCTCCAAGATGATGAGCTTCCGTGAATGAATCACACGAGATTCAGATCGAAAAATCAATGTTGCGGGCTGCGTGTCCAAGGACCGAAAGCTGCTTCGGCGGCTTCCTAATCATCCCCATTCCCGGACCCAGAAAAGGTTCTCCACATTCGATCTGTGTAACAGATTTATTCCGTGTTAATTACGCTGTAGAACTTCGTCAAGCCTTGGCCTGGAGTCTAGAATCTGAAGACCCTCGCTATCGACCGACCTTCGACTTATCCACGACTCGATTTTCAGCCGCAGAATCCCACGGAGAAATCGAAGTCCGCTTCGGCCGGAATCCGAGCAGCCTCCGCGGATACGGATGAGCCAAATTCAACATCTGAAGTCCTTGTCTCTCTGAAGAGCAAACATTGGCCTGTCGTCGAGGCAATGTAGCAC